CGGGGAAAGCTGTCCGTTCCGTAACAAACACCTAGATAAGATCTCCTCCAATTCCTCCCCTACCACATCATCACTCTGAATACCTCAGACGATCACACACGATGGCGGACGAGGAGGAGCGCATAAAGGCCGAGAAGCTGGCTGCTGCGAAGAAAAGAGTAAGCCTGGAAAACCGACATGCGGACGACCCTTGAGAGAAGCTGGCTGACGGCTGATACACTTTCGAACAGGTAGCGCAGCTCCAGAAACAGAAGAAAAAGGCCGGCAAGAAGGCTGCCACCACAGAAGCTCCAAAGGAAGCGGACACACCGAAAGAGGCCGCCGCGCCTACCGAAGAAGCCCCCGCAGAAGCCCCCGCCCCCGCAGAGGTGAAGCAAGATGAGCCCGAGTCAACAGAGAAGAAAGCGCAAAAGGAGGAACAGCAAGCGGAGCCGGAGACTGAAGCAAAACCAGAACCTGAAGCTGAACCCACAGCTGAGCCGGAAAAGCGCCCTGAGTCGCCAGTCGAACCCATGCCCGAGGCGCCTACGTCCCCTTCTCCAGGGCCGGATGCCGAGCCCCAGACTCCGGACGTCAAACTAGATACCCCGCGCGCGGGTCATACTCGGCAACCGTCTCTTTCAATCCAGTCCAAGATGCGCTCGTCGTCTTTTCGAAAAGGCTCCGTCTCTCAAGGAAGTGCTTCGACGTCACCATCGAATGCCTTGAAGTCGCCCTCTTTGCCTCCTTTGACCGGTAACGGTGACTCCGTGCACGAGGTTTATCGGAAACAGTCGATGCGGATTGAGGAGCTGGAGAAGGAGAACAAGCGACTAGAGAAGCAGCTGGAAGAGTCGACGAGCCGCTGGCGGAAGACGGAAGAGCAGCTCGAGGATCTTCGGGAAGCGAGCGTTGATGCGGCGGAGTTGAAAGATAAGTTGGAGAAAGCCGAGCAGAAAGCGGCGGAGATAGACGAATTGGTGTGGTTTTGCCTATATCCAAGCAAGCATTGTTAAGACTGTTACTGACCTAGCCAACAGAAGGCAGAGATCGCCTCTCTACAGAGGCAGAACTCGCACCTTCAAAATCGGTCGCACCGCAACAATGCTAGCATCTCCGTGCCAGCTCCGTCAGAGTCGCCTCCTGCCGACCTCGTACGACAGCTTGAGTCCAAGTCGGCTACCATCGAGACCATGGAACTAGAGATTTCCAATCTTCGTGCACAGCTCTCGGAACAATCCTCATCCAGCAGTGCTCACGAGGCTCAGATAGCTGCTTTAGAAGAGAGACTCTCTCATAGTGAATCCGCTCTCGAGAAGTCTCAACGGGAGCTTACAGATACAAAAAATGCCCTGACGCGAGCCTCCGAAAAGGCAGTGAAGGAAGGAGTAGACAAGACTTCTACGGAGACACTAATCAAGAACTTGCAGCGGGAGATCGAGGAACTGCAACAAGAAAAGTCCGAAGCAGAGAAGAAGATCGACACACTAGACAAGAAACTCCAAGCAATGGGAAATCTACACAAAGAGTCCGAAACCCGCCACCAGGCCCGCCTCCGCGAGAGCGAAAAGACCGAGAAAGAAGCAGCTGTTTTACGCAAGCGGCTCGCAAGCGTCGAAAACGAGAACCTACGACTGAAAGAAGACCTCGAGCGCCTCAGGAAGCGCGAATCCGGCGGCACAGACGACGACGCCCTCGATGAGCTCGAAGATGAGGAACGATCGCGCCTGGAACGTCGCATCCGCGACCTCGAAGGAGAGGTCTTTGATCTACGTCGTGGCGTCTGGAAGGAACGGCGTGACGAGCTCTCCACTGCGGACCAAGAAGGCTATACGGCGGGAGACACCAACCCGGCCGCCAACGCCTTCGACGACGTGGATCTCGTCGGCGGCTCGTCCGCCGACCACGCGCGCCGCCGCAGCATGGCCCAGCAGCATTCGTCCTTCTCCACCGTCCTCTCGAGCGGCCTCGCGGCCTTCACCGGCGGCTACGGGAACCGCAGCCGGGCGTCGTCAACCCAGCAGCATCCGCCCGCTGCGCGTGGCAGTCTGGAACTCCTGTCTGAGGAGAACTTCGAGGATGAGTTCGACGAGGCGGAGTTTGCGCGAGCGCAGGCCGAAGAAGAAGCACGGAAGCGCGTGGAGTGGGTCCGCGAGATCAAGGGGAAGCTCAAGGACTGGAAGGGCTGGCGGCTGGATTTGGTGGATAGTCGGGCTGGCGCGGAGGGAGCCGGTGTGGGTATGGGTGAAATATTCGAGATTTAGATCTGATGTCGACATACGTTATAATCTCCAGCATCTTAACAACCTTCCTTTTCGGTTGACCTCATCGAGCAATTTCAGCCCTGTGGCTTGACTGGCACCGCGACATCTAAATTACAATAATGATTACGCTAAGAATATAATGAATGAAATATACTCGTTCAGAGTAAGAAAAATGGATGTGCCATGAGTATGCAACGATGCTATATATAAACACAGACACCAGCACCGAAATGTCCCAAACCGACGCAAGCTAAAGACACAAAGCAGCAGCTGAACACATGCACATATAGAACAAGCCTTAGGCAACATCAACTGGATTCAATCGTCCGCCTCGTGGCGCCCTGTAAGAACACCCTCCGATTTGCCCCTTCTCCTCTTCCTGCCGAGCAGCTCGCCAACCCACCCTGACATCTGATACAACCAGCCACCCGTCACCATAACTCCAGAGATGGTATTCACCAGCCGCACAAGCAAGGACAAGAAACTGGTGCGCTCCTCGCTGATCATCAGCAGGATGGGTTCGATGTTGTACTTGAAGAAGATGCCCGGGATGAAGTAGGGGTTTTCTGGAATCGCGCTGGACTGGCTGGTGGCCGCGTACTGGTTGGTGAAGATGAGGTTTTTGCTGTAGCGGCTTGTGGGCGGGGCGTTGGCGTAGGTGTCTAGTGCGAGGTTGCCCTTGGAGTAGATGGTTGGCACGATGGAGAGGAAATACTGGTACTTGTAGTAGTGGTCTTCGGTTGTGGCGATGGTCTTGTCAAGGGGGTTGAGGAGGGTGGGATAGTGAGGGCCGAAGGAGAGCTCGGTGATCATGTGCGAGAAGTTGAAGGCTGCGCGCGTCAGTTGAATTCAAATACCCAGGGAAAAAAGGAGAAACGTACTCTTGTGCTCCAGATGAGGTGCGCTGTTATGGTACCCGTGTCCCCTCGCGGTAATGTGGAAATCGCCCTGCACCTTATTCCCCTCCAGACTGCCATAGATCCGACACGAGTCAACAGCATCGCCCCTCCGCAGCTTGGGACCCTTGGCGAACTTCTTCCTGGGATTCCTCCGCACCTCGCCGAGAACATGGTGCACATGCGCGTCGGCCTCCTGCTCCGATAGACGATCGGCGTGCTCCTGGCTGAGGGTCTGGTACTCGTGCGCACCGCCGTAGATCTCGAAATTGCGCTTGTCCATCCACAGCTGCCAGCTCGTGGGCTCGCGTTTCAGCAGCTCACCGGCAAGAACGCGGTCGCCCGAAGCATCCTGGATATTCACATCTAGCGTGTCACAGGGCATGTGGACGACAATGTCCAGGTTCAGCTGCAGGTCATGGGAGATTCCTTTTTCAACGCTGAAGTGCTGCTTCTCGGTGCCTTTGAGCCATGTGCGGAACTCGGATATCGAGAAGAAGGTACAGACGAGCAATATCAGGACTGTCCATTGTCCTCCGCGGGGAGAAGGCGCTGTATAAGAAGGTTTTGTCTTTGCTAGAATCACCACGACGATCGTCAGCATCCGCACCATAAACCTGGGCCCGGCCGCTTTCGAGGACAATTGCGAAAACGTCCCGTCGAGCGAGCTCGGCATTTGAGCATGTTAATGATTCATGTTGGGAACTTACGAAACGCATCGAATGTCTTTAAGCTGCCTTTGACGCTTGACTTCTCCCCAAATGCATCCTCGTCAAGGCCGTGCGATGCGTAGCCGTTCATCACGAGTCGCAACTTGAATTGGACAAATCAAGACATGAACGGGAGAATTGGAAGACTAGGTTTACAGACAGCACAGATAAAAAGCCCGTAAGACAAATGAGCACAGCTCTGGTGATAGCGCAAGAAAATAGTTGAAACAGACGACAACGGGGGGAGGACGAGTACAGGCCAAGTGTTCCAAAAGAGGTACATATCTAAACTCCGCACCCCGACGCGTTATCGGACGCCTTATCAACAATGCTATCAACAAGGCTAGATTGACATTTGACATACCACAAGACACCTTCAAGCATCAACAGAAATTCATAGATTATTCTCTATTTCATAGCGACTTCATGATCTCTATACTAGACGAGTGCACCCCTCAGAGCTGCCTAATACCACCAGTAGCCACAAGCTCCGCAAAGCAAAGTCAACAATAGTCTGCATGACACCAGAAAATACTCCGCAGGTTAAGTCACAACGGTCCCGGGAGAGAATTGAAGAGATACAAGGGTACTAATGACAAGAATGGACATAGGAATGCGTATGAATGTACAGACGCTTTATGCATAACAATGAAGATCCGTAGCGATGCAAATAGCCTCGAGGGTACATGAGCATGAGGCGATGCGAAGACATGTGCAGGCAATTCTGAAAGACAAAGGGATATGCATATGGTCCGGTAGAAGTTGTGAAGGAAAGGTCATGATTGTATCATAAATAATTGGAGACTGGTGGCAAGCAGGAAACACAACAGAAAAGTGAAGGAAAAGGTGCAAAGAGTACAGGTATCATGGCAAACCACACAAATGTTGGAATAAGGGGGTATAAAATGAACTCTTGTTGCCTTGTCCGCCGCTTCAAATCTGTTTCACTTCAATTCAATCATGACGCATGCGCAGAATCGCCGACGTTCTCGACCGGATGTATGCAACTCGAAGATAACGAGAAGAATTAATATTACAGGCATGTGAAGAAAAAAAAAAAAAAAAAAGAGGACGAAAGGTGGAGACGTGGCGACGCATCATTTACTTCTCTAGCAACTTGTCAGTCAAATGGCCTCGTGGTTGTATCTTTACTAGGTCAGATTACTTACTAGACTCGTCGCTGCCGCCGCAGTCGCGAGGTCAGGCTTCCCGCTGATGCTCCTGGCTGCGACACGGGGTAACGCTGAACCAGGAGTAGAAGGGACAGTTGTGCCTCGCTTGGCAGGAGTCGACGGCTGCAGGCCGCTCACGGTGGAGTGCCGTTTACCAACTGTTGTCGGCTTCACAGGAGAGCTGCCTGAAATGTCGCGACTGCGAATAAATGTACCGTTTTTGAGACTAGTTCCAGGTGGCTCCGGCAGCGGCCGTGCTGTGGGATTAGACAGAGTGGTGCCACGCTTGTTTGATAGGCTCGCCATACCATAGCTTCGAGAGCGTGACGCAGGTTTGATTCCAGTGATGAACTCGTGTCTGAGCGCATCGTGAGGGGTGAGGCGACGAGCGGGATCCCATCGAAGACAGCGAGAGATAAAGTCAAGGAACGCATCATCGTCACACTTCAAAACCTGTTTGAGGTCCTTTGAACTGGGTCGACGCCTTCTGCCCTTTGAAGAGACGGTGAGTCTAGGCTTGCCCAAAGAATCAAAGAATAACTTCTTCCGAGTGCTCTTCTCAATTAAATGTTTCTCGGGAGGACCAAACACCTCCATTATACAAGCAAGCTGCTCCTGTTCATTTTCTCCCGGGAAGATGGGATAGCCGCTGTAGAGCTCGGCCAAGATACACCCCAGACTCCACATATCAATCGGCATGCCATAAGACATGCCAAGAATGACCTCTGGCGAGCGGTAAAAACGACTTTGGATATAGGTATACACTTTCTCATTCTCGAAACAACTGGATCCAAAATCGATGACCCGGATTTCGGAGCTCATGGGATGAACGAGAAGGATATTCTCGGGCTTGAGATCACAATGAATAACCTTCTTGGTGTGCAGGAGTGTCAGAGTGCCCAGGATCTGCTTCGTGAAGCGGCGTATTAGTTTGAGTGAGAACCCTTTGAAGTCGTGAGCCTTGATGAATTCATAAAGGTTCATTCCGAGCAGTTCCGTGGAGATACAGAGATGTCCCCTGAAGTAGAAGCTCTGTGTGAAATTAACCACGCTGTGACGGCGATGCGGATCCCACTCCTTGAGTTTCTGGAGGAGGTTCACCTCGATCAGAGCTTGTTGGTGGAACCGTTTCTTGTTGCGAATGATCTTCACAGCAACCAGAGCTCCCGTCTTGTGGTCGATGCATCTCACAACCTGACCAAAGCTACCTTTGCCCAGAACATCGAGCACTTCATACCGATACGCAAGATGATCACCGATCACGATGTTGTAGTCACCACGATCGTCGTCGTAGCCGAAGTTGGCAGCTTGCGCGTTCAGATCACCAACATGTTTCTTCGCATTCTGCGTTCCGCAGAAGTAGATATCCTTGAAGTCGATGATCTCCCCACGTTCAAAGATATTGAGATTGGCCATTTTCAGTGCCTGCGCTGGGCTCACTCGCTCTTTCGGGCCTGCCTTGCGGCGTAATTCGTCCAGATTCCTGGCGGCAGTCTCAAAGTCCTTGCGCTTGCTAGCGAGTCTGCGCATCTCCTCGTCGGCTGCCAAAATGTCAGAGTCAGGGCTAGACTCATGCTGCTGGCGAGGGGTGGCTGCCGTGCTGGACTTTGCCGAATTGATTATCTTGTGCACGGGCGAAAAGATTGATGATCCGGATCGGAGTGATGCCGTATTGCTTTCCCCGGACTCATTCGAGACGCTTGGCTCCAAAGCGAGACTCTGTTCACTGCTCACACTTGGGTTCCGCATTGTTGAGACACTCGTGCCGGAAATAGATGACTGACGTCTTGTTTGAATGTACGCGGGCTTGAGCGTGGGACTCGAGCCTTTGACTGTGGTCAGGTTATTCCAGGTGGCAGATGCTGGGAGTCTAGGCGGCGGCATTTGCTTCGCCGGATCCAGATCAGCACCTGTCGAACGTTGTGGTTTGGAGTTGCTACGCTTTCTGGTCAGAGTGATTTTATTGAAGATTGAAGAGCCAGAAACGCTGTTGTTGTCAGGATCCGAAGGAGTAGACAATTGACTGACTGTCTCAGCATTGGAAGAGAATGCGGACGATTGAGTTTGAGGTCGAGGCCCAGTCAGCTTGTATGATTGCGAGATCCGTGGGGAATAATCGCCACTCGTGTTGGCCTTTTGTTGTAGGTTGCTGAAGTCGCTGCTACTCTTTGGCAACGTGTACGAGACGTACGGGGAAATTGTTCGCGCACCACCAGTAGTATTATTGTCAAAAGACGCCAATGCACTGGAGCTACTTGCTGTCCTCAGAGGAGCAGCTGTCGAGGTGCTCAGCACGAAATGGGAAGTGCTGCTTCGAGCGTGGGTGAAATCCATTGTGTCGTCATCGTCTCGAAAGGAGAAATTTGCCTTGGAGGCCGTCATCGGCGTGCTTGGAGTCTTGGATACGACCTGGCCTGAAGGAGTGTAGGACTGCGCATCGTCTTCGCGGTCCTTCAAAGCTTCGATCTTAGAGGCCACGGGAGTGCTGAGAGGCAACAGGTTCAAGGGGGGCAATTTCAAAGGCTGCAGATTCTTCTTCCCAAAATTGCTCGCCGGAGTCTTTGCATCGGGGGTTTTCATTGCTCGCTCAGCAGGATGATCCGTAGTCTTTTTGTCGTTACCACTTGTCGCTGGTTTGTGCTCAGCGTCGTGGTCAACCTTCGGCTTCGGAAGACCAATATCCAGGGGAAGACTAGACTTCCGCGGAGCAAAGTAGGTGTGAAAATCGCCGTCACCCTTGGGAGACTCGTAAGCCTTGGGAATTGCGGGAACAGGAGGGACCTCTTCGTTGTTTCCCCCCGTGTGTTCTGCACGCGGTTTTGGGGTAGGTAACCGGGAAGACGATTGATTCTGGGCAAATCTTGTCTGCAAGGAACTGCCGGAATTCCTCGTAGAGCTATAGCTCGTGTTGGACGACAAAGACAAGCCTGAACTGTAGGATTTCCGACTCGGGTCGGGCGTTGTTCTCGTCGACGATGGCGTGACGCTCTTCCGCGGCAGGCTAGACGGAGACTGGGCGCAGGACCGCGGGCGAACAGGCAGCGTGTCCTGTTTGGTTGGAGGAGTATATGGTAATGGAGGCGCTTGCGGTGCAGTAGAGATTCGCTTCATACGCCGTGCATCAGTAGGGCTTATTGTTCGAGCCCCGAGGCCTGTCGCGTGTGGGGGCATAACTGACACCCTTTTCGCAGATGAAGCGGGCGTAGTCGCACTACCGGCAGGATTCTTAATCGGCGTCCGAACGGCATTAGTGGAACATGACCGGGAGTGGTCGGTCGATCCAGATGCAGTCAACAGATGGTCACCAGGCTCTCGGGAGGGTGGCTGGAGCGACTTGGCTTTCATGTTGCGAACATTGGAAGGGAGCCTCGTCTTGTCAAGGCCGTTGGAATTGAGATTCTGGGCATGTGGGCGGAGACTTGCATGGTCGGCTGGAGACGTGTCCACACTTGCCTTCCGAGCAGACACGCTCTGACGTCTGGCAGATGTAGCAGCTGCAATGGAGCCAGGGCCTATGGATTTGCGTGGAGCGCGCGGAGCAGGGGCGTTTGCAGCGGAGTTTTGGACAAGACTCTGGCGGCGACTCCGCGCAGCAGTGTTGGAAGCCGGAAGACGCGAAGATACCGATTCTGCGGAGGAATTCTGGCTCGATAAACGTGAAACCTCACTTTTTCTCCGCACGGAATTACTTCTTGACCGACTGGCGAAGCTGGATTCGTTGTTATCCGCCCACGGATTCCGCGTAAATGGACCTGAGAGCTGGCTTCCAGGGTGATTTGAAACCCCAGTGCCGGGCATTGGAAAGTGATTTAGACTCGGCTCTGCCATGATGCTGTTGTGGAAATCATCAAAGTTGACGGGGGCAAGGAAGTCCGTCTGATCAGGAGGTGTATGGTTATAGTCCGACTTTGCCAGATTCCCCATGCTGGTGGATCGAAGACTAACGCGAGAGTTGGTACTCCGCGTTGATTCATTTGTTGAATCAATTGAAGAGTGTCCGGAGTGGAAAAAAGAGCCTGGTGCATTACTACGAAGCAGAAAGTTAGAAGTTAATGGCCATCAATAGTACAACCCTCCTAATCACACTAAAAGAGACCACGTAGGGAAATTGGAGATTTTGAGCCCGTACCTTCTGCGCGAGGGTTCTTGCGGCCGTGGGCCCTGCGGCACTTTTTGATCTCGTATCGACAGTCTTCTCTTGGTCATGATGCTTATGCGAGACCCAGTTGCTGTTTTTGAGGAAGGAGGAGTATCCGACAGGAAAGGTGTCGATGCATGTTTATGCAAGCGTCTTCGTGCGGGACCCTCTGCTATTTAAAGCCATATTCGTTAGCCACTGCCATTTGCGATTCCGCACCGGACAAAACCATCGCTTGGATATTTTACCTCCAGATCCTGAATCTTCATTCCGAGGTGGACTGGTCGAGCCCGTTTGTCCTTTACGCAGCTGCCCCCTCCCTGGAGTCTGCTGCGACGCTAGCTTTTCTGGCATCCTAAGGCTTCGATACCAGTATTCCCAGTAGCGATAGGGGCACGTCCGGGGCGATTCGTTGAGGAGTTAGAGGTGAACTAGGAGCCCAGTGTCGTTTTCTTTTGCCAATGGCACAGAGGCGTCACTGATTTCCCAGCCTTCAAAACAAAGAAGAGGCTTGACAACACCGTCGCGCAACCCGTCAACGGTCGCTACCGGTCCATTGCGGGGAACAAAAAGAGCACGTCTCTTTTGCCAGGAGTCGACCACGAAAAACCAAACCGAAGTACGCGGCCAGATAAAAAGGATTGACAGCGTATTAATATCGATTCGGTTTCTTTTCGAAGTCCTCGACACAGGGTTGTTGGTGCGCAGAGGGGGAACTCTTCGTCGTTCGGTTGGACTTGGCGTTGAGAAAGTTACGGGCGTATATAATAAAATGGGACCACTAGAGCCCAAGCAAACGGGAAAGAAGAAAAAGGAGAAATATTGTTAAGGAACGAGGAAGGCACCCAAATCCGATGAAGCGAAAATATACAGAGAGTATCGTGAGCAGAAAGAAGCCAGTAAGGCCACCCAATGCCAGCTAGAAAAATGAAGCAGAGAAAGAAAAGTCGAGGAAGTGACAAAATATAATTATGGGTACTGGGTAAACAACAAGCTGTTGTTGACCTCTGCTAGTACGGAGTACTATGGAGTAACCTAACAGAGTACTAACCATCGCAAGTTTCTTAGTAGTCTGCCTTAGTGTAGGCAAAAGTAAGGTAGTGCGTGCCCCCTGGCTCCTTTTCTGTAGCTCTAGAGATGCCTAATTGGGTAACGACAAGTGCAAATAGAGCAAACAGTGCTCTTCTGAGATTAGTGCATGATGGGTGGATTTTGTCATTTTCTGCTCCTTACGGCAGATCAACCTGTACCCAAATTACATGTTCATTACCCAAATTACCAGCCTGTGTTACCTTGCTGAATCCGACCCTGCTCGGCTCATCCATATCAGAACTGTCGATCGATGTGCATGTGCTTCGGTGCGGAGAGACCCAAGCACTTCGGGCCATCCGCCACAAGAAATGCACCTTCATGCTTCAACTCTATCTCTCAACGCAGATTCTAGCTTAGGGCATGATGGATGACGGTTGTACTGCTGAAGTTATTGCCAACCGTGACGAGCCCATCCCCGTCATCTCAGTTAACAAAAATGACCCCAGGTCACATCGGCATGGGAGGTCGGAGTCTTTGCAAGACAAGTTGTTCGCCAAGTTTGTACCCTCTCGTCTCTTATATGGAAAATGAGAGGTTTGAGGTGCCGAATGGACTAACATTGTTTATGTAAGGCTTCTAGAGCAAGTCATTCCCGCAGAAGATGTAGACAATGAGTCTGTGTCGGGAGGCGACAAGCGTACGACTGCAGATGTTAAGCGGCCCGCGTTTAGCCTTCCTTTGATGGCTAATAATTTTCGTCGCTTCAACGCCAGGTATGTCAGATAAAATATCTATGGGGAAATGTCGAAACTTGCATGTTGCTAACAGCCTTGACAGGATCGGGATCGTTTTCCATTTCCAGAACCGAGTTGAACGTCTGCTAAGCTGGAGGAAATCCTCCCATACATTCTCTTTCCTTTTTATCTATTCGTTTATATGCCTGGATCCTAATCTCCTGGTGGTACTTCCCATCACTGTCATTTTACTATTCATCATGGTCCCAGCCTTCGCGGCACGTCATCCACCTCCCCCTTCAATGTCTACTTCCAGCACCACACCCTATTACTCATACCAGGGTCCGGCACTTGCACCTGCAAAGACTATCAAGCCAGCGTCTGAGACATCGAAGGACTTTTTCAGAAATATGCGTGATCTCCAGAACGTCATGGCTGACTTCTCTGATGTGCACGATGCGACTGTCTCGCTCTTTGCACCCATAACCAACTTTTCGAATGAAAAGCTCTCATCCACTGTTTTCCTTGTGCTAACAATCACTGCTGCGCTACTGTTTCTGACAGCCCATCTCCTGCCGTGGCGGTTTATTCTACTACTTGGAGGCAATGCGGCCGTCCTATCCAATCATCCTGGCCTACAAGAATTCTTGCAGAACCTACTAGGAAACAGTAGCGGCGCTGTGAACGCCGACCTGCAGGCTGACAGGGCGGAGAAAAAGAAGACTCTAGACATGTATGGGTTGTCGATGCCGTCGAACCCATCCGCCGCCGTATCGTTGCTTGATTCATTGGCTGATATTTCTCTGGATTCATATCCTGAAGAGCGTGAGGTAGAGATTTTCGAGATCCAAAATCGCTCCCTAGCTCCTTATTCTGAGTCAGAGTGGGACCATTTCATTTTCAGTCCAGTGCCATATGACCCCTTGTCGCCGTCCCGAATTGCAGGAGATCGCCCAAGAGGATGTCGTTTCTTCGAAGACGTTCAGCCTCCGCTTGGCTGGGCATGGAAGACAAAGAAGTGGAAGTTGGACCTTGACTGCCGCGAGTGGGTCGTTGAGCGCATGATTACCGGAGTAGGCTTTGAGATACCCGGAGCTGGTCCAGAAGGAAGCATGGCCAACGAAGAGATTGGAGGCTGGGTTTGGGATCTACCTTCTCAATCCGCGTCCAGAGACGAGGATGCTGTGGCCACTGCCCTAGGGTATCAAGACTACGGCTCAAGTTCGAAGCCGGCCTCAATTCAAGAGAAGAAGAAGACGCCGAAAGGTAAGCAGAAGTCGGTCTCTCGAGACTGGGAGGAGCAAGGACATTCAGGATTCAATGGCATGGGCGAATGGCGGAGGAGACGGTGGGTTCGGGTCGTGCAGAGAGTGAGCGTGTCCTCCGAGACCGACAAAGAGAAACCTTCGAACCAAGGGAAAACGTGAGCTTGTGATGAGCTGGTGTAATACTTTATGATCTTGATCTGAATGGAATAAACGTTTTATTAGACCAGATGGCTTGATACATAAAATGGCTCGAATGAGCATGAGTCCTTGTGAGAATAGTTTACCCTCATTTGCACCTCTCCGACGATTTTTTCAAGTCCGTTCTCTGATGATATCTGTCTATTTTGATCTTCGTCTGACTTCGTGGTGCTGACAGCACACTGTATCTCTAATCTACAAAATACATTCATTCCTAATACTCTGTGGTATTTTACCATTCTAGAATATTGATGGTGACTAGGTACCCGAGGCTTGGCAAACCTTCATTTTCACACTCTATCGAGTGAAACATGCATGCTGCCAATTTCTCAGGGAATATCTATTTGATAATATATTGTTGGCAAATGTAAAACCATGTGTTTCATTTATTTTTGGGTAGAAGAGACGGTAAAGGCGTTGAAATGTGGGGAAAATATGCCTAAAGTCGCCTCGTTTTCAGCCTCCCAAATTTCAGACCCAAAGCTTATATGGTGCCTTAGGCATCTCGGCTTATCCTTCCGCCTCCGTCTAGAACGAGCTACCTACCAACGAAGCAGAGACGCTCTGGACAACATTTAAGAGAGAAGATTGTCTGAGTATCCGTCCAATCAATACTTGGGGATTAGGTCTGAATTGATGTCTCTCGTTCAGAATTATGGCGTGCTTCATTCTTGCCATCCAGTATGGGTACTGTACACCGACACTCATTCTATATTGTTTCACCCCGCTCTGACATAATGATGCTAGGACTCGGCCAATGCTCGACTGTCGAGATGTGCCATGCATTATTTCTCCACGATACCGACCATCGTCATCATAGGGGCTGCTGTGTTTTACTTGCTCAGCCAGTTTCTGCACCGCTGGCGTCCGGCATGGACGAAACCCTTCATCTCAGAACGTTGCCAGGAATGGCCAGACTTACCAGTGGAGCAGAACAAGCAAAGGGTGGGATGGGTGATCAGCCTTTTCCTCCTCGCACTCGTAGGGCTCGCGGCTGAGGTCGTAAAAGCAATTACAAATGGCTTTGACGTGGCTACTATATCTCTCCTTGTGTCATGGGTAAAACAGCCCGCATCGATGGGGAACTTGAGCTGATTCGTCCCTCAGGCAGTTGCCGCTATCTTCGTTTGTATAGCACGTCCAAGGACATGTCCAGCTTGGATGCTTGCATTCTTCATCACAGAGCTTGCTGTGGAATTGTCATTTATTTTGGATCATGACGCGTACGCAGTGACAAGACTTCCTGCGTATTATGTTGCGGCTGGCGCGGCTATGGCTGGATGTGTTACTATATTGCTCATGCCTCTCCGTGAGCCTTCAGTCCCCATTTATGATATCGCTGCTGTTGGACAACCCTCATCCAGCGATTTTCGCAGCCCAGAAGATAATTTGAGATTGTGGCAATTCCTTAGTGTGTCATGGATGGCACCGCTCATCTCCATTGGGAAGAATAGACGATTGGATGAGGACGACGTCTGGTTCCTCGGCTTCGAATTTCAACATCGCAGGTTACATGAGAAGTTTCGTCGACTTAAAGGCTCAGTGGTTGGTCGTCTGCTTCGTGCGAATGGGATTGATCTAGTGATTGTTTCTACTATTGCACTTGTGATGATGATATGCGGTACGGAATTCCCGTGCATACTACGGAAACATTCGCTGATCTGATCCTAGACTTCGCGACCCCAATCTTGTTGCAGCAACTCCTTCAAGCCATGCAGGACATGAGCTCAGGGAAACGTCCTGCCATGACCTATGCGCTGGCCACCCTCGTCGTTCGTGTGGTTGCGGCGCAATCGCAGGTACTCAACCTCTGGTTTGGTAGACGATGCTACGAAAGGAGCAGAGGGGAGATGATCATGATGGTTTACGAGAAAGCACTCTCCAGGAAGAACGTTTTTGACCCCCAGTCAGAACAAAAGGATGAAGGGGCCGCAAACGGAGAGCTTGCCGAAGAAGATGCCGACGATGGAGCGGAGATTCCCAAACGAAGGAAACTTTGTGGGATATTGTCTGGGCGCCGGCAAACCACAAAAAGGCCAGCTAAAACGGCCGCCTCAATGGGCAAGATTTTCAATTTGCTCCGTGGTGATGTTTATGAAGTCGCCCAGCGGTTTTGGGAAGTTGACTCCTTGGTTGACAAACCTCTGGGACTTATCATTGCGATCGTGCTTGTTTGGAAGCTTTTTGGGCCATCATGCTTTCTAGGAATCCTAGCAATCCTCGTGGCTCAGGCATTGAACGCCGTCATTACTCGCACACTTCTCCGTTGGGAGCGAGTGCGGAGACTTGCAACAGATGCCAGACTTCAGATAACCTCTCAATTTGTCGAAGCGCTTCGTCACCTGCGTTGGTATGGCTGGCAGGATCACTGGTACCGGCAGGTTATGGATGCTAGGCAGTCGGAGCTGAACCTACGTATCATCACCAACCTGTGGAGCATCCTGATTCGTTTTGTGAACACTTTCGCCAGTGGTGTGTTTCCTGTAGTGGCTCTGTATGCTTACACCCTTCTGGCTGGTCATCCTCTCCGCATAGATATTATCTTCCCTGCATTGCAGCTATTTACTATGCTAGAGACCCGCCTTAGGGATATCCCTGGTCTCATAACGGTACTGATCAATGCATCTATCGCCGTCGAAAGAATTGAGGACTTCATGGCCGAGCCGAACAAGGAGACACCTGCCACCGAGCCTGCCGACTCTGCTTCCATTCAGCTACAGCATTGCTCATATGCTTGGCCTGGTCGAGTCGTCCCGGTGCTCTCAGATATCAATTTGACGATAACCAAGGGTCTGACGGTCGTTTCTGGCAAGGTAGGGGCTGGAAAAACGGCTCTACTTCAAGCGCTTCTCGGCGAGCTGGACAGATTTGGCGGCTCCGCTGAGATCCCTAATGAGATGGTGGGCTATTGTGCTCAAACACCATGGCTCCAGAGCATGAGTATCCGAGACAACATCCTTTTCTCCTCACCATACGATGAGCAACGGTATCAGAAAGTCCTGGATGCATGTGCCTTGCTTCCTGATCTTGAGAATTTTGAGCATGGAGACCTTTCTTTTGTGGGTGAGAATGGTATAGGCCTTTCTGGCGGCCAGAAGGCCCGCGTTGCGCTGGCACGAGCGCTTTATAGTACCGCTAGGGTTCTGTTGCTTGACGACCCAATCTCTGCTCTTGACCACAACACGGCTGAGACAGTGGTTCAAAAGTGCTTTACGGGTCCTCTGATGCAAGACCGCCTCGTGGTTCTCGTTACGCATCGTACCGCGCTTGTCAATCATATCGCGGATCAAATAGTCCATATTGAAGATGGCCGGGCTACAATTCACGGTAAACAGGCTGTGTCTATGGATTCGGCCGCTGATGAAGATATCCAATCCTTAGCAAAGACAGCCGAGTCCCAAAGTGAGATTCAAGGCGCTCTTCGAGAGGCTGCGGCTTCGGTTCCGACAAAGTTCATGGAGGAAGAGCACCGTGCGGAATGGGGTGTACAAGCCCGTGTCTATTGGAACTATATCAGAGCTGGAAGATACAGATGGTGGATTTCACTAGTGTTTGTCTTGGCCATCTATCGATTGACGTCGGTAGGACAATCGTGGTTCCTAAAGGAGTGGGGAGAAGCCTACAACCAGATTCTCCTGGCATTCAGCCATTCTACCCCCGAAGGCAGATATTCCGCAGGACAGTTGGTTATACCGTATGCGTGGTCCCAGGTGTTCCGTTGGAACCCAACCGATCCCCTGGAAAAATTGCCAGCGCCATTCGATGATGTGCGCCCTTGGCTCCTGGCATTCTTTGTGATAACGACGTTTCAATCGGCCATGCTTCTGTTTGCGCAACTTCTGATGCTGGTCATCGTCTACTGTGCAGGCAAGAAGCTCTTTCACCAGGTCATGGTTCGAGTGAGCCATGCAACATTCCGCTTCTTCGATGTCACTCCTGTCGGCCGCTTGATGAACCGACTGACGTCGGATATCGGAGTGGTCGACGGTAATATTAGTGAACAATTTCAGGCTATTGCGTTCCAAGCCATCACCTGGATCTCGTCGATTGTGGTCATAGCGTCGGTGACACCAGCATTTCTTGGATTCTCCTTCGCTCTCACTGCGGCATTCATTTTCACCTTTCTCCAATTCCTGCCAACGTCTCAGAGCCTGCGACGTCTTGAGATGGTATCTCTTAGTCCTCTGATCTCGAATTTCGGCGAACTCCTGCATGGGCTCACGACTGTTCGTGCGTTCCACGCGGAAGAACGCTTCCAAAACCGAGTCATTGCGGTCGTAGACAAATTCCAGGGCATGGATCATTTCTACTGGTCGCTTCAAAGCTGGCTAATGTATCGTTTTGAAACCCTGTCAGCTGCGTCCACGTTTTGCCTCACCGTTCTGGCATTATACACCAATGTCACACCGGGTCTTGCGGCTTTTGTACTGATAGCCGCTAACAACTTTGTTACGTCCACTCATGCTTTGTGCAAACAATATGGCCAGCTACAAATGGACTTTGTCTCGGTTGAAAGGATCGATGAGCTGCTTCACATTGAGCAGGAGAACCCAGGGACCATTGAACCCCCAGCATCCTGGCCGCGGTTCGGGCAGGACATCACATTTGATGACGTTACCATTCGATACGCACCGCACCTGGAGCCTTCACTCCGCAGCATTTGTCTTACAATACCCGGGGGATCTACGACGGCCATCATAGGCAGAACAGGAAGCGGCAAGTCCACGCTGGCCGTCTCACTGCTCAGCGTCATCCGCCCTGAATCGGGCCGGATCGTCGTCGACGGCATCGATATCGCGCAAGTCGATACGCAAGCGCTCCGAACGCGCGTCACATTCGTTGCCCAAGATCCCGTTCTCTTCCCCGGTAGTATCCGGTTGAATCTCGATCCGACAGGTGAATACTCGGACGAGGAGTGTGCAGATGTGCTGAAGCGTGTCTGTAGTCGGCATGGCTGGAATTTACAGACACACGTCGAAGCCGGTGGCCGCAACCTCAGCCAGGGTGAGCGGCAGCTGATCGGTCTCACGCGGGCCGTTTTACGCCACAGTCCGATTGTCATTCTTGACGAGGCTACCGCGTCTATCGACCATGAAAGCTCCCTTGAGATTCAGCAGGTCATAAGGGAGGAACTACGGGAGTCGACCGTTATCACCATTGCCCATCGGTTAGAAGCAATCAAGGACGCGGACTACTATGTCGTTCTAGATAAGGGACGGGTGTCAAAGCATGGCTTTGTCAATGATAAAGGTACTTCTCAGATACAGTCATAGATAGAAGGGTTAGAAAAAGCTTTTAGAATGTTTATCGGAATCACGACTACGAGTTATTCTCAGGCTGCAGATGCAACTTTAACCAACATCAAACATTTCTATACACTGTAATTTGCAAATTCAAGGGTGATCATCACGGAATCATGCAAAACCAAGGTAAAACCACACGAAACATAGATCGAAACGCCATGAGAAAACTCCAAACAACTAAACCCACCCAAGCATCAACAAGACATGAGCAACCACCCGCAGGGAAACAAGCAGCAACATACTCCAACAAGCCCCATCACACAACAACCCCCTCCCCGACCCGACATTAACAGCACCCGTCGCAGTAGCACCACTCGAGCTCACAGGCCAACCACTCGCCGCCGGACTCGCACCAAACACAGCCGAAGACACCGCAGTAATGGAACTGGTCCTACTCGGAGACGCACTCGCCACCCCATGTCCTGAAGGTGCAGATGCAGACGCAGATGCAGATACACCCTGACGCCCCGCACCATCGGAAATAACGACCTGCAGAACCGGCACCGCAGTCACCGCCGTGCCGTCAACACACTCGCCCAGGTTCCATGGATTGTATGGTAGAGAGCAGACTCTTCCGTTGAACGACGCTGGAGATGGGAGGAGGGCATTGACGCCTTTCCTCACGCGGGGAGGTTCAGAGACGTGTACCCTGCCGATGCCAGCGCGCGTCTGGAAAGGAGTATCTCCTTCATTGCAGTCCCTGCCGAGGGCGAAGAGAGGTGACTCCCAGGTCCCGCAGAGGGTTGTCTCGGGGATATGAGAGGTCTTGCCGTCGATCGAGTATCCCGTGCCGTTGAAAGCGCAGACTGCGTCTCCTGCGTGCTTGGATGATTCGTGGCCTGTGTATTCTCGTTATTTCATACCAAAGGAAATGATTATAGACTCTGGGGACGTACAAACTGCGGCGCTGGAGTAGAGTGGTGGGATGAATCTCGACAGCCTAGATAACCGGTGAGTTGTTTCCTTTTGAAAGGGGCTGGGCCTTGAGTACATGGTATTGCAGGATCGGACTTCGATCATGGTTGTAGACACGCAGGATATGATCGTTGAGCCCTTCAGCGAGCCTTCTGGACAGTAGTTTCCTCCGGGACTGGAGCAGATGAGAGTGTCGCTGGTTGGGTCGCTGCTAGCTGTCAGCTTCTTTTGTTTCATGGATATCAAAAGGTAAGAAGGGCGTAGATTACTATTTGACTTGGGCCCTTGCTAGCTCAAGGAGCATGAGACCGGCGTATAGGAGGAGAATCATGGTTAGATATGTCTTCATGGAGTCAGGGCTGCTATCGGTATGCTTGAAGTTGAGTCGTCAGATGAAAAAGTAGATTAGAGTCGTGATGAAGTGTGTCTAGAAGTGGCAGGATGGCCGGACTACTAATTTACAGAGAGCTTGAGCTCGAACTAGGCCTAACGAGGCGATGTTTGTTGATACTGCACGCGCCGTGGTTGAGCAGTGAATGAAGCACGGAAGATGCCGTTACTTTTCAACCGGACCATAGCACAGTTCAGATTGGAACTACTTCACAGACTAGGAGATCACTCCTCCACAACTCCTAGTGATTGGGTAGAGACAATATGAGATATAATGGAAAGGAGTCAATAGCAGCCACTTAGGGATACCCGCAGACAGGCAGCGGCTGGGTTGATGGGCAACTTTGCTTAGAGATGGAGGCAATCGATAATGGAACCTTACCAGGACACGAAATGGATGAGAATGCCAAAAAGAAGAGAACATGATCATGAGACAAACGGAACGGGCCATAGACACCCATCTGTAGGATGCCCAAGGCCCGATCCGTCCCGGTCCTGGTACGTGTATAGCTGGAAAAGGGGGTGTATACAGGCACCAGAACCGTATTCGAACCGGGGATGATGATGGTTACAGAAGTCCCGCAAGAGTCAGTGCTAGACTGACTGGCGTTGACCCCTGCACCACCTGCCCCGGTTCCTTGAGTGGTGATGTTGCTAGAGACTTATGTGTTGCACTCGGATGCCGAATCTGGTAAGGTACGGGTAGCTGGATACCTGGAGAACAAGGCATTGGGATGCTGCCTGAGGATATGGAAGCATACTGGACCTAGCCGTGACTCTGCAGCCGACATGTACACCTCCGGCGTCTCGACACAACAACGCATACTGACATCTGACAAGAGATGTCAGCAAGGGTTTGCCTCGTAGAGATGTGTCTTACCAGAGGGTCCTGCGTTCAGACGACCTCCACTACATACGCCCGACGATACTGATCATAAGAGAGGGTTGATTCCTCGCGGAAGGCTTCTGTATCGAACTCTGACTTTATATTGATATGGTATCTGCAAGGACATGAATATGATATAGGTCTATATGTAACAGTTGCAGACCTGTCAGACAGAATAAACTGACAACCAAAGCCTAGACAACAACTTTTGATATCAACAACCCATCAAAAACGCCGCATGCGCCTGGAATGCATCAAGACACAAACTATGAGGAGTGGTTCGCCTTCCACTTGCGAATCCTCCGTTTCAAATCACCCTCGCTCTGTTGCATAGGATTCAACTTCCTATCACGAGCCATGGCGCTGTAGTTCTCTCCATGACGCTCGATCAATCTCATAATCCATTCCTCCTCCCGCTTGCTCTGGTGCCGGGGCTTTTTCGCCTTGACTGCCTGCCCTTCTTGGTCTGCCTGACGCTCCAGCTGTTGAACAATCGCGCTCTTGGCATTGGCTCTTTGTGAAGCGGGTTGCTGGGCTGCCTCATCTTCAGACAATTCGTTCAGCGGGTCGTTGAGCGGATTCGAAGGTTTGACTTTGCGGCCGCCAATTTCAATCTCCTCTTCGTCACGAATCACTCGGATGATTTTGCCTGTTTCCGGATCGCGTTCCACCCTAGTCTCGCCCATGGCTGCCTGCTTTGCGGACGCTTTGGCACTGCCCCTGATGTGGAGGGGATCCTCGGGCAGCTCCTCGATGCGTCCATCTTTGGTCGGCCTTTTTTCGCTACCGCCAGTCGGAGCATTGAGTTTGTGAACGAGTCCCAAGCGGCGGTAGTTTTGTGTCAGGGTCAATTTGCGATCCCTATCGCAGTGAAACTCTCGTCAGTTGCTGATCTTTGATCGATTCGAAGAACTGGTATTTCTTACCAATTTTGAGCGATGATGGCATTTCCCAGGACGTTGATCTTCTTCTTGCCGCTCTTCAGCTGCCCGGTCCTCTTGGGCTTCTGTTTCGGCGTCGAGGACCGGTTTTTCTTCTTCTGTAGCACGCGACCCATCCTTCTTATTCCCTTGTAGTGATAATTCGAAAAAGTGGTGGACGATAAAATTGCATAGCGGTTAAATCAATTCTTATCGATTTCTCCGAAACTTTTTAATGTTTGCATCTGGATGCTTGGCGTGTTTGCCGACATTAGCTCCACTGATAACGAGCTGTAACAAACAATCTGTCCGATATCCATCGTGCTGGCTTAATCAGGGTATTATCCTCGAGTTTTGTCTCTGCCCAATTGCTCATTGCTGCAGTCAGAATTTCGCGACAGCGATGGCACTCAATTTCTTCTCTCCTGCGCGCAGGACCGGCCTCGCGCTTGTCGCCGGTCTTCTCTTATTCGCTGTGCTGGCGGCTGCGACTGTTGACAGTGGAGACAAGATCACTGTGGGCGACCTTTCCGTAGCGGAAATCGAAGACAAGTTGCAGGTAATTTCGCCTCAAGCTTCCAGTCGTTTGTTGTCGTTAGCAATCAGGAAATAAGGACTGATTTGCTCAGGAATGTCCACTTGTGGAAGCTCTCAATGAGCACAAGCGTGCGACTAGCCCACCAACAGCCAGTATGATGTCGAGGCTCTTTGCGGTCCTCTTCCCTGGCAGTCCCGCGGTCAATGCAATCCTGGCAACTGTGTACATCTCCGGGCCTCCCAGTATGCGCGCTTAGAGAAACCATGTCATTACCGTGCCAAGATCTAATAGCTACAGACTTCCTCCTGGCCCTATGCCCACCGAACATTGACCCTTCGTCTCTCTCCGTCATGGTTGCTTTCGCCGTCGGAGGACTCCTAGGTGATACTTTGTTTCATCTTCTCCCTGAGATCTTCCTAGGCGAGGACTCCCCGGAGCACGTGCGCTTCGTCATGGTCGAACCCAACAGGAATCTCCTCCTCGGACTCGGGATCATGGTCGGCTTCTTCACCTTCGTGGCCATGGACAAGGCTCTCCGCATCGCAACAGGAGGCGAAGGACATGCCCACTCGCACTCGCACACACACACCGACAGCTCCTCCCACGGCACAACCACCAGCTCCACCACCAGCACCGCCAACACCGAGCTACGCAAGCGCAAATCAACTCCCGCCACTAAGAAAGAACCAGAAGACGAGAAAGAGATCAACCCCAGCGTCAAACTAGGCGGCTACCTCAACCTCATCGCCGACTTCACCCACAACATCACCGACGGCCTGGCAATGTCCTCCTCCTTCTACGCCTCCCCCACCATCGGCGCAACCACAACCGTTGCCGTCTTCTTCCACGAAATCCCCCACGAAGTCGGCGACTTCGCCCTCCTCATCCAGTCCGGCTTCTCCAAGCGCAAGGCCATGGGTGCGCAGTTCGTCACCGCCATCGGTGCGTTCCTCGGTACATTCATCGGGATCGCGATCCAGGAGTTGGGAGGCGGGCACGGCACGGCGGCTGGTGGTGTGACGGGCTCATCGGCCGGGCTGCTGGGCACGAGTCTCACCTGGGGCGATATGCTCTTGCCTTTTACTGCAGGGACGTTCCTCTACGTCGGGACTGTGTCGGTCATCCCGGAACTGCTTGAGACGGGCAAGGATAAGACAGTTGAGATCAAGAAGACGATTGTGCAGTTCCTGGCTGTTGCTGTCGGGGCGGGAATTATGCTTGCGTGAGTACTGGATTCCAGCTTGTGAGCTTTGGACTAACATTTCCGCTATGCAGGATATCCTGGTATTGAGGTGTGATCTCTTATGATGTGGCAGCACCTACTAGACTGATATACTTGAAGGGGACATAGTGATAGACAAAAGTAGTTGAAAGGACACCGATGCAGTCGATAAATACCCGGCAGAAATAAAATTGCTCGAAAAATGATCTAGCTCCGTCCATCTAGATAACCAATGTAAAGGACGAGGGGACTCCGCATGCCACAATGCTGGCGCCAAAACTCCATCCACCACATGAGATCTGAAAGATTGTATCCTAAATAGTGACAAAGTTGCGCACAGCGCGCTCTATGTAATGCATATTGCGTCGATGCACCGAAAAGACAAAAAAAGGTCTGATATCACATCGTTTCCTCTAACCACATTACTCGTTTTGGTGGTATACCTGCAAGCGTCATTAGCATCCCAGAGTCATCCAAAGAAGAGAAAAAAAGTGCAGCTTACGAAATAATCTGGCAGTCCATAAACGGAATACCCCAGCCGCTTCGCCATCTTCGCGAAGCCCTCCGTTTCGACCAGGTGGTAGAAGGGGAAGGCAGGGAACATCGCGCCGTCACGATGCACCTCCGCCTTGACCATGAGCGCTGTGCCGCCCACGCCGTCCAGCTCGATAACTTTCTTCGGGTTCGGATTGGCCGTATCAGCCAGATAAGCCATCAGCGTGCGGTAGGTCGGCATCTCGGCGTAGCCCTCGAGGAGGATCTCATCGGGGCCCATCTCCGCCGCCATGCTCTGCGCCGTACTACTATCGATCCACGAGTTGTAGTCATACGGCCGGACATCCATCTTCTTCTTCTCGGAGTTGTAGTACCGCTGGTAGCAGTTAGGCACGAGGACGGGGTGATCGTGCGCGGTGAGGTCCTGGATCAGCGTCGGCGGCGTCTCGACGATATCCGCATCGAGCCAGAGAACCCAAGCCGTGGCGGGGCCGAGCGTCGTAAACAGCAGACTGTTGCGAGCGCGGCTCATCGACTCGCGGCGCGCCTTCTGGTTTGAAATCTTGTGTCGCTCCTTCTCGTCCTGCGACTGCAGGGGCGGCTCGAAGTCCTGGCGGAGGATGGAGATACTCGCGAACCGTCTGTCGATGGGGCCGGACTGCGTCTTGGCGATGGCGGCTTCTAGTGCGGCTAGGGCTGCGTTGCCTTCTTTATTCTTCGGGATGATGAATCCGATCGAGATGAGCTCGTGCGGGTAGGTCAGTTTCACCACGTTGTCCCAGTACTCTGGCACGAAGCGGGCCATCGGTGTGAGGATCAGGATTCGTTCCCCGTTGGCGGCGGAGGTGGTGGTGCTGGTGAGCTGGTTCAGGTCGTACTGCACGACCGGGGGAGGGGCCTGTTGGCCATCGTGGCGGACGGGCTGGGATTTGAAGAAGGGTTTCGTCGGAGGTGAGAGGGGGTTTTCGGCAGCATCGTCTTCGCGGCGTTGCTGCGATGTTGAAGAGGAAGAGGCGGAGCCTGCCCTAACGGGGGAGGCAGAGGATGTCGAAGGGGACAGCACGAAGATGACGAATCCAAATGCCAGTATGGCCGCAAGAAGGAGAGTGATTGGATTCGTGCGTCGCATTGTGCGGGCGACGGCCATTTCTGGCCGTGTCGACCGGTGGAAACGAGCGAGTGGACGCAGGAATCGGTATGGTTGAGTTGGTGACGAGGATGCGAGCTGGCTCGTGGAAGTTGGAGATGTTCGATGAGGACAAGTCGAAGGATCTGGACCGGCGGAGATGTGGGCACAGGGAGATAATACTTAGCCAGTAATGAAGTCAATTCTCGACCTGCCCCCCGACATAGCGGGATTGACAGTGAATAGGATAATTTTCGAGTTAACCGTGCTGAGAGAGTCGACGAGGGACGGGAGCCGGTGATGATAAGTAGATGAAGCGATGGTCTGGCCTGTGTCTCCCGCCTTGACCTCGCTGTGCTGTGGCCGGAAAAGAACACGCAGACCTACTTTGTAGAACCGCAGTTCAATCTCCCTCGAACGGTCGAGTAGTCGATCTCTGAGCCCACAACCAGCCAATGAGCGCCAGAAATATTTGCCTTCAACGTCGAAATGTGGATCAGAGTCCGGATCTCTGTTCCTGCGCGAGGTATGCTGAATGCGGAAATGTTGCAGTCAAGCTGGCCTCCGCCGTTGTACCGCCAGCAATGACCATCTGCCCAAATGACGCACTAAGTTCATTACCAATTGGTTTTTGGTATCTTATACCTCTATTGTTATATACAAATAGTCGTCTAGTCTATCATTGTTCATTAGGCCTGATTACCTGATTAATCAGGCTCACGGCAGCGACCGCATCACGCCCTCAAATGCAACCAAAGCCATCGCATTCGCCGGGAATGCTCGTAAGAAGCAGGGCACAAAACCCCTCCAGTACCCTCTCCACCCTCGCTCGTGATAAACCGCCCTGGCAGCATCTTTCCACCGGCGGAATTTTCTCTCCCCATCACCTAGCGCTCCGCCCATCGGGTCTGTCATCAGTCGCTGCTTGACCACATCGGACGGGTACGAGGTCAGCCAGAAGATCTGTGCCGATATACCCCCGGCCCAGAAATTAATTACTGGCGCCGACATCGCGGTGTTGTTTTTCATCCATCGTGTCAGGACGTCGTAGGAACCCCACCAGAAGAAGAAAAACGATCGGAAGAGGATGGTCGCGCAGAGGCCGCGGTATAACCCTGCGATACCGTGAGTGCGCAGCTATGCTGCAGTCAGCCGACGCTCGCTTCCAACACTCTCGAGACCTCCCAGTGACTTACCAGCTTTTTTAAACAATCGATCGGCCCGCTGTACATTCGTTTCGACTTATCCGCCGCATACTGAATCTGCAGCCGCGCCTTGATGTGCTCCACTGGAGCCGCTACGAAGCTGACAGTCGTACCGGCCAGGATACCGGCTATCCCATGTCCAAAGCTGGGGAGCGTTTTGGGATCAGGTTGATAGCTCGCAAACGGCGTGAGAGACCGAATAGCAGGTTTCGAAAAGACGTTCTCGAGCAGTAGTCGTCGGTACAGCGTCAGGGAACCGAGCATGCTACCCCATGGATCAGACCCGGATCATCCATCGTATCGATCACCGACGAAAGTACTCACACAGAGTCCATAACCATCCAACCGACCAGCGGCGGCGTGGCTCCCTTGTACAGCCCACTCAAACCCTCCTTCCGTACCGTCTGTAGTACACAATCCAGCGGCCCTTTGAAATGCCCTTCTTTGCTCGTCTGTAACCGCACCTTTACCGTATCGAAACTAGCACACGTCCGTCAGTCATAGAACAATGTGATAGGAGTATTCTCGTCACATACGGATGCCCAACTATACAATCAACCAATATCAGCTCAGTCCTTAACGCCCCCGACAAAACTCCTCCTACCCAAGGGGAAAAAAGAAGAAGCACATACCACTCAACTTTGCAATCCCCGAAAACACACCCGCTACAAAACCCTTATAGTCGCTCTTCTTCTCGGTCGAAACCGTCGTACCGGGGACCACACCGGGTGTGCTCTGGCTTCTGCTGCCCATATCGCCGGGGACCTTTGCGTCTACCGGGGAAAGCAACGCTTCAACTGACGACATCTATGTGAACTTAGATTCTCCGGAGTAGTACTCAAGGTCTACAGTCCGCGTTGACAATGTGATATGTGCGGCAATGCGACTGATGATTGCGAGGTACAATATTCGAAATCCGCGGCGATATCGGAGATCCGGCGTATGAGGCGTCCCATCGAGCGCGGTGCTTTGCTCAGGGGACGAATGACTGAATCGACGATTCGATCGAGTTTGTGGTGAGCAAAGACAGAGAGAAACTTCGATTGCCCATCGCAGGAACTAAGCAACAGTAATCGACCAAGTAGGAAGGAAGATCAGGTTATAAATTTCAATGGGGATGCTTTGCGCCCCGCAAATCTGTGGGTGCGGATTTCGGGGAGAGATCGCCCAGCTCCGGAGAGCACCTTAAGACTTAGCGGTCTTGGTCGGCCGATCTCGCGTCAAACTATCTAGTGTCAACTAGACTAACTACCTAGATTTGACCAGTTGGCTCTTAATCGATGGACAGTGGAGTCATTAAAACAGAACCAAAGTCAAGTGGCAGTGTGAGAATCTCTAACAATTGACCATTCTAGTGATAATTCGTCCTTTCAGGACGCAATATGTAAATACAGAGCAGAAGCAAAATTCCCCGCAATCAGTCGAAGCGAAGATATGAAGACAGAGGTAACATGAGAAATTCTAAGTGTCGTCCCTTTTGAATCCAATTTCAACATCACTCTTGAGTTGAGCAGGACAATCCGTCCTGGCCATGGCTGAATTTATAGGAGACAGGATATAGGAGAAGAGCGGGTCTGGGTACCACAGGTGGCATGTCAAAAGTATTAAATCAAGGCTGTATGGGGTATAAAATGAATGCAAAATGATGCATGCTGAATTGAGCTCTTATGTGGGGAGCCCATCTGACAAATGTGAGTTAATGGGAAAGTTGGGAAAGAATGGAAAAGATGCAAGCTTTCATCCTGGATAACCGGCCAGGACGTGGAAGACGGCAGCAACAAAAGAGAAACGGCATTGATCACCAATTCTTGGAGCTCTTTCGCGACTTCTGACGAGCTCGGTCGACTTCGCGAGCAATGAGCTTCTCAACCAGATCTGGCGCAGCGCTGGAGCTTTGGGAGTCGCTCGACGAAAAGTCTGAGCTCGTTGCACCAATGGTCAAGTAGCCGCCGGTCTCCTCCAGAGCCAATGGAGTCACAGGTCCCGGGCTGCGTAAAGGGTCTAACCTTGGGGCAGAGGGACTGGGCGAGAGCGGCCGAGAGGGTGCCCTGGAGAGAGTGACGCTTTCCACCAATTCTCTGTACTGTCTCAGCGTGTCCCGAGAGCTTGACGAGGTCCAGTATGACTGCTGTCGGGAATGCCGGGGCGATGGAGGCTGTGCGGCCAAACTCTGGGAGTTGTTCGAGGGCTGGTAGACAGCGGGATGGAACCGAGGCAGGCTGCCGAGATGGAACGCTGGAACCGACTTGGCCGAGTTGTGAGGGCGAGAGCGAGTTGGCTGTGGAGATGCGGAGCGGGTCGAGGGTGACATGCTGGGCGACATGACCGGCGAATAGAATGAGGAGCTATCAGAACGCATTCTGGAGGATGGTCGGTGGTATGAAGGTCGGTGATAGCGGTCACTGTCCAGCCGGGAGACACTCTCGCGATTCCTCCAAGACTTGGACTGATCAGACTGCGGGAAATAATCCTTTTCAAAGCGCCCCGTCAACGGGGTGACCGGCAGATCTGAATCGTAAGGACTGCTCGGCGGTTTTGGTATGGGAATTGGACGCGAGGTAGAACGGCTGAGGATGACAGTATCAGACAATTCTGAGGTTTCCGAAGCGGGTGAACGAGGAGACAGCGGCGACGGTGGATTATATGTGGAAGAGGTAGCCGTCAGGTCACGCAAGGACGATAATGAGACTCGAGTGGGGTGACCGTGCTTGGCGATCAGGCTTTCCAGTTGATCTCGGGCTGAAGCTGCTGAAGGACGATGCGAGGGTGACCAGGAGGAGGGTGAGAGGTTGGCTAAGAGCACGCGATCAGCAAGAATGACCAGAGAAGTGAACCAGACATGCCACACGTGTACGGTGGAGATCTGGAGATTGATGTCGACGGTGCCAACACAAAGGGGGAAGTAAACAAATCATTAAAAGGGGATAAGATGAAACGCGGATGGTCCGCATCTAATGATGCCAATGAGAGCAATGGATAGTCCGCTAGGACGGAAGACAGGTGGAGAAGAGGGGTAAAAGAGGCATCTGTATGGTCGGATGGAGTGGGCGCGGGCATGCTCTTGAAGATAGACGCAGAGGATAGAAACAAACAGGCAATTACTTACCGCTGAGCAACGGGGGAGAGTGTATCGAGCTGCAGGAGGACGGATAGAGAGAAGAGGATGAGGACGAGGAGGCCGAGAAGGAGGATGGTGGAGAGGCTGCCATTGAGGCTTTTATCCTTTTCCTTCTTAGGCGAGGATAGTTCTGTCCCTGGCCGCGGGAGAGATGAGCCCACATCAGCGTGCTTGCCCAGCTTGGTAAGGGTGGAGAGAGACGGGAGATGACAACAAGGAAGAATAATGGAACCAGGCACAGGAACGGGTATCGAAATGATCTCCTTCTGGGGTGCCCCGTTTCTTCTCAGAAGCCGCAACAGCCGACACAATTCTGAAGAAGACAGATTTTCCTTGACGAGGTAGGGAGCGACGCAAGTGCTCGATGCCCCATGCAAGGAAAACTGTGCCGTGATTTCATCATCTTGCGGGGAAGCGATCAAAGAAAAATCACATAGCAAAAGAGTGTCATCAAAAATTCCTGACAACAGAACAAGTCGTGACATGGCGTCATTAGAGGAGCTGCGGGTACAAAGGCGCAAACTAGCAACAGATTTGGGTGGACGGGCGGGGCAAGTATGTTACGGTACGGTACGATTACCGCCCATGGTACCACCCTTGAACCCCGGGTATTGGCGGATTTGCCCCCACTCTTTGCCCAGTCCAGCGTGCACCACGCAAGGGGTGAAGCAAAAAAAGCAAAAGAACAAGGACACGCATGCTTTCTCCCAAGGCAGATGGAGAGTCAAAAAGGCAGAAAGGGGTGTTTCAAGGCAGGATACAGTGCGTGCAGAAGACATATCTCACTCACCTGCGACATGATTGCTGGCCTGAGTCAACTGATCCTGGCAAATGGTAACCGTAGTGGGTCCAATTTCCTTATCCCAAACGCTGATTGGCTTTTGGTTTAGCAAACATCCGACGGACGCTATTTTCAGGTCGCTTGCCGTACGAACCGAAAAGAGGAAGACAGTCAAATTAAAAACCATGCGATGACGCAGTCCAGGAAATTTGTGGCTTGGAAAAATGTTGGTTTAAATGATTGAGCAATGACGACCTGCCAGGAGGACGAGCGGTTTTGCAGTCAAAGTGATATGCAAAGGTGTTGAAGATCCGTTGGCAGTGGCTTGTTAGGAAAGTTAGCATAAATACATAACACAGACGACGCATATGTCAGGTCGTACGTGGTCAGATGCAGGACGACGAATGAGGAGATTAGTCAACTGAAGGACAGGGACGAAAGAAAGGAAGGGCTCAGCAGTGGCAAGGTCTGACAATTTTATCCGAGAGCCAAAGGGATTCCACAACAGTCTGAGCCAACGAGACGGGGTGAGCTCTGTCCTTAAGAGCTAATCGGTTGCCTTCAGGAGTCGGGATTTGTCTACACCATTCACCAGGTTTCGCAGATAAAAGGAGCATTGTAACCACACGCGCAAGCAGCGGGTGACCCCGAACCCTACTCACTGAGCTAAAAAGGGTGTGGAAAAAAACAAGGCAGAGGCAGTCATCACAAACAGTATCACAATATAAGTGTGTATGAGGACTCACTTGAGACTTATACTGGACAGCCGGATGGCTGTGGGATTTACTGGATTCGGACATGGATTGAGACCGTTTCCCACCATCAAAAGGAGCCTAGAGACCGATAGTGGGACATGGTCGATCTGCCGGGGTCAACAGTGAAGGTGACTGGCAGACGGGCAGTGGTGGGCTACGCCTCTTACTGGTACTAGTTGCGACCTACTTCTTGAAGGTAGGTGGGCAAGGAGCAGTGAATATTGCTGAATGAATAGAACAATGAGTATAGACAGGGTTGAGTACTGCTACTAGTGTCGGTGCGAGGTTTCCATTCTGATGCTGGAGTCAGTTCTTGGATACGCCGTACTCTACTCATGGCAGACAAGAGCTCTGTTCATACAAGCAGCTATGAGGATCCAATCAAATCAATTTTATCGACGACACTAGCTGCCTGACTCGAGTCAGGGAAGCGGAGAATCGATATTTGCTTTTCCGAAGACGGTCTTCCTTCCTGTCGAGCGCATTATAGTTCTGATCATCACCATCCAGGGTAGCTAAATCATCCACCAAGCAGGGCGATCAGCCGACTCGCTCAGCTCCAATAGCAAGATCCACCCCCACCTGAGCGTCCTCAAAGTCTGAACCTTCGGAATTTTTCTGCTAGTTCACCCCCTAGTGCATCATGTTTCAAACAAGGTCCAATAGTCATGAGCGGATGACTGTTCCAAGTATCCGAGAGACGAGCGATGACCAATATGGTTCATTGCCACCGTATGTCCTGGGAAATGATATCCGACACAGGAAATAAGTGCGAAGGCAACTTAACAGATATCCATCTACTCCGTACCTGCGGCGAGATGCTTACTGGGTTGCACTCAAGACTGATCGACTACACTGTCTGAGTTGAAGTACTCCTGATGTCTTACTGAACGATGGGTGTGATTGGCAATAGACTTGACCCCAGCCTTCATGACTGGGAAACTCCCCTGCATACGTTAGCTCCAGCCTCCAGTCGACTGAACGCGCCAATCCGCTGCTCTCTTCCCAGATTCCAACGGCTCAATCACAGCCTCGCAGCCGTTCGAGCAAAGCTAAGCCGTGCGAAGCAGGGTGGGCAATGCAAGACATTTGCGACGTCTCGCATCCACACAGTCTCGTGCCGTACATAGCTCCCTCTTTCTATTTTAGCACGATCTCGATCCGGATTCTGCAGAAACCGGCACATCATACCGGCCAGTCATCCTGATTTGATCCCTGGACGGGTTCTCGCATGACCTAGTGGGTGTGGTGACTGCTATGGCCGGCTGAGCACTATTAGTGAGTATCCTGCCTTTCAGCAGAACCTTACAAGTGATTATCTGGGCGCTCTGGGCTCTAGACAGCCGTCTGGCTCTGGAATCGGTTAGGCTCCAGGATTGTGGAATCTCTACTGCATGCTGCAGGTCAACGGGTGCCTACTGCAGGTGCTGACATGTGCGCCGCTGAGGCAGCGAATCCTGATCCCTGAGCTAGCCATATTATTGACAGGCTCCTAGGATGATTGCGATACTCTAAGTGATCAGGGATGAGCTTTATGATCATAGGGCATTATGTTATTGGAAGATGGAACACATCTGGTCTAGACATTCGGCTTGAGGAAATAGCCTGCAATAGTTGGAAACTAGTGGTGGCCTATGACCTTCTTAGGCTGATACAGATCGTCAATACTCTTGATCTCCTCCTCCGTGAGCTTGAACTCGATCGCCTGAATCGCCTCATCGACTCTCTCCTTCTTGCTCAATCCCACAATCGGCGCGGTGATGAACGGCTTCGACAACGACCAGGCAAGACTCACTATGGTCATCGACACACCGCGTTTGCTGGCAATCTCCTCTATCGTCTCGCTGATCTTCTTGTCCGTCTCGGTGAACGGGTGGCCCATTAGCTTGCCATTCAGCGATCTCCCCCGCGTGGTTTCCTCAAACGCTTTCCACGGCCGGGTCAAGAGGCCCATCGCAAGGGGACTCCACGGAATCGCACCCATCCCGAACTTGGCGCACGCAGGAAACATCTCCCGCTCCTCCTCCCGGTAGATAGGGTTATGGAAATTCTGCATGGAGATGAACTCCGTCCATCCGTTCATACGAGCCGTATACTGATACTCCAGCAGCTGGTGCGCCCACATCGACGACGCCCCGATATACCGCACCTTACCCGACTTGACGACATCATGCAGCGCCTCCATCGTCTCCTTCACAGGCGTGTTGTCATCAAACCGGTGGATCTGCAGCAGATCAACATACGGCAGATCCAACCTCTTCAGACTCGCCTCAATACTATCGAAGATATGCTTCCGGCTGAGCCCGTACTCGTTCACGTAGCCGGCATTGTCGCGTTCCTCGTTGGACATGAAGAGGGGATACTCCTTGCCGCGACCGACGGGCGCCCACACCTTGGTCGCGATGACGATGTTTTCGCGCCGCCAGTTGTATTTCTTGATCGCCTTGCCGAGAATCACCTCCGAGTCGCCGTTCGAGTAGACATTGGCCGTGTCGAAGAAGTTGAGCCCCGATCGGTAGGCGTGGTCGAGAACGGGGAGCGCGTCTTCTTCGCCTAGTGCCCAGTCGAAGCGTTTCTCGGGGCTGCCGTAGCTCATGCAGCCCACGCAGATGGGGGAAACGCGCAGCCCGCTTGATCCAAGTTGGACGTATTTCATTTTGACACTTACTAGTATTTTGTGCTTGTACCCCTCGACGAAGTCACCCTGAAGATAGATAAATATACCATCGGCTCTCCCGGAAGGCCGGACTTAGGCATTCGTGTTATATCCTATTTCCGATATTGCCCAGATCGTCATCATCCTGCTCAGTTTTACTTGCGCACCAAACAGGGAATTCAGATATTCCCCTGCTTTTAACCCACCAATGAAGCAAGCAGTACAACCCACTACTGCAATCGCGGGTAAGGTAGTGCGCAGTGAGCGGGGTAGACAGCGGCCATTTACCCAGATTGCAGGATGCAGAATGCACAGCTGCCGGTTCCTAGCTTACTCAAGTCACTCTATTCTAGGATAGTTGAGCTATCAAGGATCAAGTAGCTTGTTATAATCATAGAGTTTTGGAGATAGTGCCGTAACCCCGCGTATACTTGCAGTTGCTCCGGATGTACACTAACAACAATCCATATCCATCTACGACGTTCCATCGAACTTACTAGTTCTTATAGAGATACTTCAACACAATGTAGACCCTAACCGGTACGGAGTACTTCGTCCAACCACGGATGAACCTCCCATCCCAGGGAACCCCCCAAACCACCCTGATATCAACATTCGCCCAACATGACGAATGTGGCCAACGAACCCATTAAACCTATAAACCCTCGATTCGATCGCTCATCAGCCGCAAAGTCAGCAGAGACTATCTGAAAAAGAAATACATGAAGAATTCAGAATGTCCCTCCGCGGCTTCCACACAACCTGCGATACCATCGTCCTCAAAGACAAACATATTCTCAGCAGTCGCTGCAAACGGCCTGATGGCACCTACTCCTTCTCCGAGATTGATCTAAATGATTGTTTGGGGAATAGTAATGGTAAGTTACTAGTCTCAGTCTGACTTGGTTGTGTAGCGGATAACGGATGCTAAGATGTGCTTGTGCTTTAGGGAAGTTTGTCTGGGGCGGGGAGTCGTTCGCGGACAGCGCGTCGCAGGTGCATCTTGCGCTGGAAGGCGGGGAGGGGAGACCGATGTTGCATGCGCAGCTGAACGACCGGCATGGGAGTGTGCAGTCTGCGAGTGTGAACCTAGGAGAGTGTATCCAGAATGAGGCGGGGGGGTTGGAATATATGCATTGTTGAAGGTGGAAACGTACGTGTCTAGAACTAGAACTACAGGAGAAGATATCGAATATACAATGAAGACAAATCATCCCAGAACACCCGTCCAGCCATTGTCCGCCGGGATGAGGGCGCCGTTGATCAGTTTCGAGCCCTTGCCGCAGGCCAGAAACAGGCACATGTCGGCTACATCGTCGATCTCGCACAGGCGCGCTTTGACGGCAGTTCCGATCTCGAGGGCTTTGTCTTGGCCCTCCTTGTTGAAGCCGGCTTGGAAGGCGTCGGTGATGTTAGTGTCCATGCCGCCCAGCAGCAGCCCGTTGCACCGGATGCCCTTGTTACCGTAGAAGGCGGCCGTGTTCTTGGTCAATCCGACAAGACCGTGCTTGCTCGCTGTGTATGCTGCGCCTACTTGGCGTTAGCAATAGGAATACTTTGGTCGTCGGAGAACATACCCGCTGCCCAGCCGGCCTTACCGGCTACAGAGACGATGTTGATGATACATCCATCAGGGGTAGGCTGCGCCAACATATTCCGCACAGCTAGTTTGCTAAGTAGAAAAGGCGCCGTGAGGTTCACGCCAATCACCTTATCCCACAGTGCCTCATCGAGATCTCCCACGGGATCAAACCTGTCCATGATCCCAGCATTGTTGACCAAGATGTCGAGCTTCCCAAAGTCCGCGACGATCTCATCAGAGAGAGCTTGCACGGCGCTCGCGGAGGTTATGTCCACCTTGACAGTTCTCAATCGACCGGTTTCCCCCAGTTCTGAGGAAGTCTGCTGTAGTCGGTCCTTGTTGACATCGCAGATCACCACGTTTGCACCAGCCGCGAGGAAAGTAGACGCAATGGCCTTGCCCAGCCCGCCAGCTCCACCGGTGACCAGGCAGGTCTTGCCAGCAAGTGAGTTTTCAGATGATGGATGGAGCATATTGAGTCCTGTCAAACACGAAAATGTATAGAAGATCGAGCCAAACATCCATCATGCCTGTCAGTATGCTCTTATATATATACTCAAGTCGTGCAAGTCCTCCTCATTCAAGGAAAGCCGAGCACCCGTGTTAACACGCGACACGACTTGCTAATGGTACGCCATTTCCCGTTCAAGTCGAGAGCCGCGTTCGGATGGGTAACTAAAATGGCATGTCCCCGAATTATACAGCCGTTCAATGGTGGGGATAGTCCGTGTTTGGAAGCGAATATCGTATTGCGTATTCGGTGGGGAGTCACGTGACGAATTACTTGACGCCTTAATGCCGTATTCCTGCCATTTATCCTTCAGCTGACTTGGCCCCCAATCAAAGTGTGCAGTGCATAGTACTAGCCAATGTTGCTATAAAACTCGTGACCTCGGTTTGCACCATGTTCTAAGTTGTTTGATATGACTCGGCGAAGAACCGAACATCGGAAACGGAGCGATTTGCAAATGCCGCTTATCGGCTGAGCTACATTGCCGTTGTCAGGAGGATGAGTATCTGATACAAGCCGAGCATCATGAGATATCATCCAATATCATGATAGAGACACTTGGACATAATTCTCGAACTCACTACTCTAGAATCATGGGTTCTAGTGCTGGACATAATCATCACTAGCAGCAAGCCATCCATCAGTATGGCCTCATTTGCGTACGTCTTCCGAGTTCGTGTCAGTTGAAAACTCCTAACGACCAACAGGAGCAATACCTTTTCCCACCAATTATATGCGGCTTTCCGGCCAACATACTCAAAGCAGCTCTACTCAGCCGTGCTTGCATATCATAGAGGTCCATCAAGGACAGCCCTTGACTTGGGAACAGGCCATGGTCTAGTCGCTCGCGAACTCAGTTCACATTTCCAGCGGGTCCTCGCCAGCGATCCATCCGCAGGGATGATCCAAGAGGCACGCCAGTTGTCCATAGGTTTCCCCAACATAACTTTCTACCAAGAAAGAGCAGAAGAGTGTCCTTCTGCTGCAGATGCGCAAGTAGACCTAGTAACCGCTGCGCAGAGCGCGCACTGGTTCGACTATGCCAAGCTGTGGCCGGAGATGAGAAGAATTGTCCGATCCGGAGGCACGCTGGCTTTCTGGGGCTACAAGGACCATGTGCTCGTGTCCTACCCCAGAGCAACCAATATCATCAATGAGTATGCATATGGGCAAGATCCATGGCTGCTGGGAAGCTACTGGCAGCAGCCAGGTCGGAGCATAGTGCAACAGAAACTGCGAGCTGTCCAGCCGCCGGTCGAGGACTGGGAGGATGTCTCTCGTGATGAGTATGAGCCTGGAGTAGAGGGAGGGACACGGTTCATGCATGCGAGGATGACTTTGGGGTCCATGGAGGAATACGTCAGAACATGGAGCTCGTTTCACGCATGGCAGAGGAAATGGCCGGATAGGAGGAGGAGAGCTCCTGGGGATACGGATCAACGTGGTGATGTTATCGATGAAATGATGGACGAGATTCGAGAGACTGAACCGTCTTTCCAGCGAGATGACTGGCAGGATGTGGAGGTGGATGTTGAATGGGGGAGTGCGTTGATTTTGGCGCGGAGAAGGTAGCCGCTACGTCGCACCTATTAACAACATGGATTGAAATGGAAAGACAGAACCCCGACCATCTAAGGCCATGTTTTGGGTGAGTTGGAGTAGATACACTTTTCGTCAACCACGGGCCTATGCGCACGCCCTGTCAATGGCATCGATACCCCACCAAATATCAAGCCACACATTCAACAAAACTGTCAAATATAGAGCTCACCTCAGAAGAAATGTAAGAGAATTATTGTCTTCAAGAAGACACTTACCCTTTGATTGCTTGGAGCCCATTAATCTGGGCCTTGCATGTTGTGTTCCACCCAGACCCTTCAAACTACTTGCTACTGGACTATACTACCTTCAACACCTCACAACTGACCAGGGTCATCTTCCAAATGGCTCAAACGGCATCTGTGCCAACGAATCATATCACAATCCGTACACACCAACCTGCAGACATAGAATGGATCATCTCCCGCCACAGGACCCTCTACGCTGACGAATACAACTTCAACGACAAGTTCATCGCCCTAGTGTCGAAGATCGCATCAGACTTTCAGCAAAACCATGATCCTACCTCGGAGCGCTGTTGGATCGCAGAGCGCACTGACAAGACCACCAATGAGCCAGTGGGCTGTATGATGCTTGTCAGGGACGTCGACTCGCCCGATACCGCCAGACTGCGCTTACTTCTTGTGGAGCCGAGTGCTCGAGGAATGGGAGTCGGAAGATCCTTGATCAAGCAGTGTATCGAATTTGCCAGAGAGGTTGGATATAAGCGGGTGGTGCTCTGGACGCAGAGTATCTTGGGGTCGGCGAGAAGGCTTTACAAAGCTGAGGGATTTCGGTTGGTGAAGGAGGAGGAGCATGAAGGGTTTGGGATGACGTTGGTAGGGGAGTTATGGGAGCTGGAGCTAGAGAAGAAGTCTCAGGACGAATAGTATACTGGCTAATTGTGTAACGGCTTCAATTGATCCTACGAAGGGGATAATGAACTCGATTGCAATCGCTACTTAGCATAGAGGTATTCCAGCGAAGTGTAGCTGATAAGGCACTTTAGTGTACATTTTATCTTATTGCCTAGTCAGGCTGATCTGCTGTTAAACCATCACAGGCTTGTCAGTCGCTCAGCGAGACGTCTCACATAGACAGAGCATGGAACACAGCACGAAGATCCAGATCATGGATCGACGTTGATTTGATCATTCGTGCCACGACCGCAATATAACACGCTCGGGAGGCTTCAGGTGTCATCAGCGAGCGCAACGCAAGAAGCTATAGTAGCTCTTGCCAATCCAAACTTTGACTTCTCCCTACTCAAAGTTGAGCCACCAGCTGAAAACCGCGAACTTGGGTTTACAAGTATCACTCAGGCAGGATTTTGCTCCTCTCTGCATGCTAGAGTCCGGCTGGTTTGATATAAACCTAGAGGACCTTGGCGTGTCTTTGCAGTTTCTCCAGGAGACCTTCTCTACGTTTCCACGGCGATTTTGTGTGACCCGCAGGACTGAGCACCTGCCTTACGCTATTTGGAGAGTCATCGGGAATGTTAACCGGCCCGGTATCATATATACGATTCCGCCAGTAAGTTCGGAACTGCATCACGCTGATCCTGAGCATTGGAGGCTCGTGAATCATAATGTGTTCGACGGCAAGCTTCCCTCCATGTCCGCTTCGCTGGTTTTGTACTCGCGGTGGACTTTGTTCGACATAGCTCCCAGTTCAGAGGGATACCCTTCCCAGAGGCAGTTATATTGTCTTCGCTCGGGGAATTGGGTTGTCGATATCAATGTACTGGAGTTCCGAGAGCGTGCCTCTTTGGTGCGGGCCCAGCAATGCCGTGAATGCGAGTCATGTAGGGTAGAATCAATGCTCTGTATGTGACTCAGTCACAATCAAGAATTGGGATGAGATTCTGGATCCCCCTACTGAGCCACAGGAGCCAGCCGTACCAAAACTCGCGGAACGTGGCATGCAAGACTGGCGACAATGAGTATCTTATAAGTCTTCAGCACCGTGTCATGCTATTTCAGAATCATTAAGCTGGAGCTGTGCAGACAAGGCTGCTCGAGAGGAAGATTATCTGCATATTGTAGTGTTGAGTGAAATGTGCAGGCAACCTGGTATGCCAGATGAAAAATAGTGATGTAGACGATGAAGACAGGAGCAAAGGAATGACTGATAGAAGATCCAAGAATGGCTAACAACGTGTCCTCAGTACTATCTCCGTCTAGTTATCTCGGCGTTCGTTGCTGTCGCCTACCTGATGAATTATGTTAGTATTCCTGATTCCTGATTGATCCCCATCCCCGAGAAACGAATACTTTTGCAGCGTGATGATAGCTTCGGTGAGGACCGGATCGCCTGTCCAATTGTAGGAATGGATCCTATTGAGAAAGAGTAGCCTTTCGATATTCCTCCCGGTTCATCATCTGGGAAAGTTGGATGAGGTGGAGTAGAGTAACGGCGTTATCAGAGCGAAGACCACAGGTCCTTCTTGACAAATGCAATGACTCTCCACGATATCTCCGCACTTCCGCACATATGCCGGGCCCATTATTAGACTATCTCATACCTCTCTTAGCTGATTCGACTTTCCTTGATTCCCCTCACGATCATTCGACTTTAACCTTCAAAACGACCCACCTGTCATCGCGGAGACCTTCTCGATTGGGAAATCTTGGTTGACTATCTATCTTATCCTTATCAAGCCTTCGCTCTCTACCTTGAAGCCTATGGCTTCTCCGTCTGTTGTTCTAGTCCGAAGGGGTGACTCCTATGTCAAGGGAAGATGCAGGCTCATGGAGGCGTCTGGGAGGGGGACTTGGAGTTTAAAAGCCTCTTGCCTTCGGCAGGGTCATTTCATCTGGAACCGATTCGTTAAATGACCAACTTCTGAAATCTTGCAAGAGAAAGGTATTCTGTGCCTACTGTCACCATGGCGGTCATCGAGGAGGATAACAAGCAAGTCTTCCAGCCGACAGCTGCAGAAGATACGCGTCTTGAGAATCTTGGCTATGAACAAGGTACGAGAGCTGTCCCCAACGGATGGACTATATTAACGTAGAGCAGAGCTCAAGCGGACCTTTGGCCTCTTGGGTATGATCGGTTTCAGCTTCAGCATCGTCACATCGTACGCATTTCATTCCTTCCTCTGTTCCGTGGTGGAAATACATGCTGACTTGTCAGATGGACGGCCTTGAGCGGCGTGTTCATTGTAGGAGTCACGTCCGGTGGCCCTCCGGTCATGGTATTCAGTTTCGTCGGCGTCAGTCTTCTTACACTTGCAGTTGCAATTCCCATGGCGGAGATGTGTTCCATGTACCCTGTTGCGGGGGGTCAGTACTCGTGGGTGGCCGCTCTGGCTCCCCCAAAGATCGCACGCGGGCTGTCATACATAAGTGGATGGTTCATGCTTATAGGTATGTCGATGAATTCTCGGTCATTAGATACTTGCCGCATACTTATTTGAATCAGGGGTTCTTGCAATGGGTGCCACGAACAATCACATCGCAGCCAACTTTGTCCTTGGGATGGCTAATCTCGTCTTTCCTGAATACACCATTGAACGATGGCAGACAGTTCTTGTTGCGTACCTCGTTGCTTTCATAGCTGCCGCCATCAATATATGGGGCCCTCACCTACTCAACCGCATATCACGCTTCATCCTAATCTGGAACGTGGGCTCCTTCATCATCACCATGATCGTCCTCCTCGCCACAAACGACCACAAGCAGCCCGCTGCATTCGTTTTCTCCGAGTTCCAAAACTTCACCGGCTGGGGTCCAGCCATGGCTGCTATCGTCGGGATTCTCCAGTCCTGCTTCGGGATGTGCTGCTACGATGCACCCGCACACATGACCGAGGAGATGAAGTCCGCCTCAAAGGAAGCCCCCAAAGCCATCATTCTCTCCGTCGTACTCGGCGCAGTCACCGGCTTCGCATTCCTCCTCACCCTCTGCTTTTGCATCGGCGACATTAACGAAACGGCCAGCACATCCACCGGCGTACCCGTCATTCAGATCTTCTACGATTCCACCGGCAGTAAAGTCGGTACGTGCTTCCTGTCTAGCATGATTGCCGTCATTGTCATTGTTGCGGGGAACAACCTGCTCGCTGAGGGCTCACGCTCAGTCTACGCGTTCGCCCGCGACCACGGCCTTCCCTTCTCCAAGGTCTTTGCCAAAGTTGAAAGCAAGCGCCAAGTGCCCGTCAACGCCGTGCTGCTGACACTAGCCGTACAACTCGCCCTGGATGCTATTGATTTCGGCACCACGACTGGCTTCGAAACTGTCATTGCAATCGCAACAGAGGGATTCTGTAAGTCCCATCAGTGCCAGTCCTATCCAAAACCCAGCTGATCACTTTATAGATTTCTCATATGCAATGGCTCTGTTCAGCCGTCTCCTCGGCTACGTCACTGGTCACCAGAAAGAAATGAAGGGGCCTTTTGCTCTGCCACCTTGGATCTCGATCACCCTCAATGCCCTGGGGCTTCTGTTCCTGCTCTTCGCATCCATCACTTTCAATTTTCCGACGTATTACCCTGTTGATAAGGACTCTATGAACTATACTTCAGCCGCGATTGGTGTTGTTGCGCTAATCAGTCTGGTTACCTGGTTTACTACCGGTCAGAAACACTTCACCGGACCGGGAGGCATGAGCGTGTTGCATGGACGAGAGGAGGTGGTTCAATCAGAGGCAGAGGTAGAGAAGAAGTAACCGTGATGCAGAGTGTATATATCTTGTATAGACAGATATCTACAGAACCCAACGCCTGCTGTTGACAGACCATGCCGGAAGCGGAAGTGGACACAGGTATCTCTCATGAACTATAGTTCAGCAGGAGTAGCAACCATCAAAGCAAGTAATATCCCCTGCTACAAGACTACCTAGTCGTCTTTCGCAGTTGTGGCATACATAGGCAACACGTCAACCACATCAGACCCAATCACTTTCAGTCCGCGTAGCGCGTCGAGAATTGAAAGCAGTTCGCGAGTCCCAAAGCTCCTGGCTCAGCGGTTCCCGTTGTGTACCCCATGAGCACATGAGCACCCGTAGCATGGACTATCTTAGTGTACAAACCAAACATGCAGAGGAAAGTAGCAATACCTCTTCACAAGCTGGTGGAGGAAGGCTCTGTGGTTTAGTCCCTTAATGCATAGAGTGGTTAAATTGTTGTCATGTGCTCCATTCAAGGCTCACCTGGAGACGTTGTAGCTGGGTCCACGGTGTGAACCGTTCGGACTGCCATTAGGGAAGGATTGAGTATATGGTCAGAGGTTGTGAGGATGTGTACCAGACGCGTATACCGGAAAAACTCCCATACATTATCGCTTTCAGCCTCTCGAGTAATCCCTCGGCATCTAGGGCCAATGCCACAAAATTCGGCTTCAATGGGTGTTGGCACTGCATCTTAGAGAATGACTGATATAATCCTACGAATGCATTATGATCAGATCTGGAGGTGACATTGGCTGCCTATCCAAGCAGGAACCAGCTTGGCATATGTGTTCATTTTCCAAGAAATGACAGCCAACGTATTTCCTATCACTGGTCACATCCATGGTATAATTAGCATCTCAAGATTCTATGTAAGAGTGGTACCGTTCGCTGATGTCGGGGACAATCATCGAGATCCCATGCCTACACATAAAAGTACCAAGAGTAAATCCAACACAAAGAAGCATATGCAAGGAAAGGACCCCACAGCCCAGCAGATTAAAAGACAAAAGAGAACTATGACTGAGTCAGCATCATGTGTCAAGAGAGGACAGTTGAAGAATTGATGAAGACTCACCGGTAAATAACTGCTCGAGGATGTCGGTCAGAGCCCACGGCGGAAGTATCTGGATCTCTCACAGGATACCCTGACAATGTCTTCCGTCTAGCTCTGCTCACCTGTGATATTGGAACAATGTCCATGAACAAACTGACAGATAGAAAAGGTTGAGAGAGCAGTCGCAGGATAAAGGTCACATTCGCCGCCTCCGACGTAGGACGATGCCTCACACTTCTTCGTCTTCTCACAGTATTGTCCGCAGGCTGTGGCGTTAAGCAGTCCAACCTTGAACGTAATGGGTGCGCCGCTGAACGACCCCAATTGATTGTAAGTGACGTTTGAGAGACAGTCGATTGACGCTGTAGCAAGAGAGAGGGAGCAGAAGATAGCTGCCAGGCCTATTTGAGGAATTTTCAACAACAATGTGCAATGGGACGATTGGGACTGGAGGGAATGTGAAGGCACCGGAAGATTCTTGCAGAATGACAGCGTTAACGATATCAAGCTGAAATTAGGCTCACTTCTGTATGAGCTTTGAAGGTACCTAATTGATGCTAACAGTCAAGCAGTGGCAACTCTAGGTAGTTGGCTTGACGACTTACTGGTCAGCATTTTTAGTCCCATGTTCCTGTCTAATTAAGAGAAGTTTATTCCTGCGCCATATGAAGATACATCAAATTTGCCCTGTCTACCTCACAATTCAGATCTTTTCAAATGACTGCTTAGTTCCTCTTACATCTCTTTTTAGTTCCCAAGCTATCTTATGAAAAATTCAACACAACTAGACGATGTACGGAGTACTCCTTTCAACACAGATCTTTCCTGTGCAATAGTTGCGTTCCCAATCGGGAAATAGGACCGACGCTTATCCGAGTAGTTTAAATCAGCGTTCGCTTAAGAGGCATACTCAGTATTTCACTCAACATCCTCTCATCTCCTGGCTGAAGTATCGCGCAATTATCAATCGGTACTCTCGCTGCCAAGTCCGCTTCCCTAGTCGGCGACAGTTTGGTTGTCGATATACCACTCGGGAATGAACTGCGACAGGGATGGATCCATTCGGCCGACTTCCTTGGTTCGTCCTACAAAATATTCTTTCGAATCTCGCAGATTTGCGCTCGCTGTATAGATTGCATAATGCATCTCGGGTTGTCGCGGCATTCCTCCACGAGAATAATGATCTATTCGCCGTGATTGTGGATGCGATTATCGGAAACCCAGCTCGCGAAAGGGGCCTGCTGCCACATGTTCAGCATGCAGTCAGGCTCTTGGTCCTTGTCTGGACCCGAGCCTCGGATTCACAGCCCCAACAAGCGAATGACGAAGCTACAGAGCCACTGGAGGGGTCATACACACACATTCTAAGCACCCTACGATATGTTAGAGAACGGTTCTCCCAGAGAGAGCTTCCAATGGAGAGAACAATATGCAGGTCAACGCCGTCGGCCATTCTTTGTCAGCTCCTTGCCCTGATGACCCGTTTGCGACGCATCGCTCATGCATGCTTTCATTCAATGATTGCTAGGTGCTTGAAGTTGCGGGTGGAGCATCTGCCCAAAAAGGCTAAGTACATCAATACGAGGAGTGTAGTTGACCGGAGTCAACGCCCTCAGGGAATTCCTTATGTTCCCCTTGATATCGGACCAGCAACGTGGTTTGAGGAGCAACGCTTACTCCACGGCTTACTCTGCATTGTTCTTTTCTATGAACTTCGGAAGACACACGCGGAATGTTCAGTTATAACGACAGACGGTCAGCCAGCACAGACACTGCTGGATGACAACGTGGAAGGGTTCTGGAAAACAATATTATGGATGTACAACGACGGCCAGGTCGAGCAGATAACAACTCTTCTTCAATGGCTAGATGAACAGGCTGGTGGGCGTGAAACGTTATACTCCTGGTTGCTCTCCGGTTCAATTCCGGAGCAATTCAGTCATTGCTGCGGTCGTTATACATCAATGACGGATGAGCATATGGGACAAGGCAGAACTGGATATGTCTGGTGGCCGATCTTCCCGAGGCACACAGTGTTTATGGCAATGCAGTACACACAATTTATCGCCTCTCAGATGCGTACGCTACTCCGCCTTTCGCCCATATAGTCTTGTATTTTGGGATTGCACCAGGTTAAACGCCCTGGGATTTCCAGGAACGAACAATTTGCGCGCAATGTTTTTCGCCTGGTCGTCCATACTTTCAGAAGAAGAGTGGGACGAAATATTAAGGCTGCAGCCCGTGACGCCACGGTACGACGAATTCGGGTATAGTGACTGACTTACGAACGGACTTATGTATAACTAATTGGGGAGAACGCTTAACAATCAGTTAAAATCTAAGAAATCTAAAACAAAAGATTGCCTCTGTGCCTCACCCTTTGAGGCTCCATCTCTGTCGCCTTCTAAGGCCATAAAGCTTCTAGCCGCCCGGGTGCGGACACCCATGTACCAGCAATTGCGGAACCAGCGACAGCGAGGAGTGCACCGCTCGCACCGCAACCAACTACTGGGTCAGTTGCTCTGGCACCAGCTGTTCGACAACAAGGACAGCCAAGTTCACTGGGTGCTCGGTGACCAACTCGGCCACGACAACGGGGCAGTACTGCCCCACAGGTGTCACGATCGATCCCAATGACGATCAGGGTGCGAATGGATATGGACCCATATCGACCTCCATCGTCACCACCAGTATACCGGAGATCGCCATCGTCAGGGGCGAGCCGTATACTGTAACGGGAGGGTCAATCAACCTCAACGGCGCGGTTATCAAAATACCGAACATTGGCGGCAGCGAGCAGGTCTGCACGACAATAGACAACGTGCCAATGGTCATCATTCCAAACTATTCTGGAACCATGGCCGTGCCGGTGCTCCCAACCGCCAAGCCGACTTCCGGTCCTGATCCTGGATCCGGCTCCGACCCGGGTTCTGGCGATACTCCATCCTCTACTTCCACTACCAGCACGACAGCGCCGATACCAACTTCTGCTGACGGTTGTGCTCTTATGGGTGGCATACAGGGTGTGTGTCGGAATAAATGTGATCCCGCAACCGGCAATCCAGTCGGTGGAACTTGGGAAGAGGGTGATGCATGGTGCTGGCTGAAAGATGGTGACATCGGTGCCTTCTGCAACACTGAAAAGGACTGTCCGTCAAAGCTTGAGTGTCAACCAAGTGATTGGAGGCGAGGGGGATGTTTGAAACCACCAGTCGTCTCTGGCGGTTGCGCTCTTATGAATGGTATACAGGGCGTGTGTTGGAGCAAATGTGATCCAAAAACCTCCGAGCCAGTCAAGGAAGAATGGAACAAGGGCGACCCATGGTGCTGGCTCAAAGAAGACGACATAGGCACCTTTTGTAAGGATGCAAAGGACTGCCCAGTGGATCTGAAGTGTCAACCAAGCAGCTGGGCCAGGGGAGGGTGCTCAGTAAACACGCCACTTTCCACCCGGGATCTCTTGGTTTCTGATAATGGGACGTCTCGCGCTATCGCAGGACCCCATGGTGTCCGGCTTGATTTGTACTTTTAGCTGCTAGCCTTTGTGCACCATATAAGTTTCGAAATTCGTCTGTCCCTTAGCTCATGTATATAATCATACACCGCATACCAGAGTTGCTGCTAGCCTAGGAATAATAAATATCAAAGATATATATTGAGCATTCAGGCTCAGTTTCATGAGCTAGAGACCCGAATTCCTTGGTCGTAGTAGTTTCCTTTACTTTTCCCACCTATACTGTAAGTATGCTGAGACGTGTTGGTGAACCCTCGTAGTTGGCCGTCCTGATGACGCTTATCTTCCCGTCGATTCCGTCAGCGAAGGCCTTATCGATAAGCACCAACAACCCCACACCTGCTATCTTTCTTTTTTCTCCGAGACTTCTCCAATTCTCTCAGATCAGCATCACACCTACACAATTATCGAGCTTTGTAAATACAAACCTCTTAAACCTCTACGTCCATCATGGTGCGTCATCACTCTCCCGGTTGATATCCTACCGACCACCCATTCCAGGATGCGCTGACCATACCACAAACCAGCCTCACGCCGACTCCTCCTACTTCTCAACCTCCCAAGAACCCACCAAGGCAGAGGTATACGCACAAGTCCTCGAACAAGCCAAAGGCCTAGTAACAGGGCAGCGCAATTGGGCAAGTACCCCCCTTCCCTTCCATCTATCTACATCGCTAACACAAGTCCAGGTCAGGTAATCACCCTACTCCCTGCCAACCCAACCAAGCACACAAGACCTTGATCTCCTAACAGCTCAACCCAGCAACTTCTCCAACATCGCCTCCCTCCTCTGGCACGCCTACGCCGCCCTCCCGCCCCCCTCCTCCTCCGTAAACTGGGCTGGCTTCTACATCCGCCAGGATAAATTCCCCGCTCTCGGCTCCCAGAACACACCAAGCAACAGCACCAACAACCTCCTACTGCTAGGTCCATTCCAGGGCCGCCCCGCCTGCCAGGAAATCCGCTTCGGGCGCGGCGTGTGCGGCACCGCGGCGGAGAAGCGCGAGACGGTGATTGTGCCGGATGTGTTGAGTTTCCCGGGACATATTGCCTGTGACGCGAGTAGTCGGAGTGAGATTGTGGTGCCGATTCTTGTTGGTGGGGAGGTGAGTTTGCTTTCTTTGGTGGAAGCTGTGTTGTGTGGTGTTGCTGATCGGCGGTAGACGGTTGCGATCATCGATGTTGATTGTACGGAGCCGGCTGGGTTCGATGACGAGGATAAGAAGTGGTTGGAGGAGCTTGCGTCCCTTCTGTCGGAGTGTTGTGATTGGTAAGTGTGTGTATATGGTATGATGGTAGATGTTTGGTTCGGCTTTACTTCACAAGCCGAGGCGTCCCTTATTTGAAAATATGCTCTACGTCCAACTAAAAGATTGGAAATTGGGTTGCACATGACACAGTCAGTGTATGAAGAGATATTGTCTAAATGGACCATAGAGGGTCCATCTCTCTAATAGATCAATTGTACCACAGCATTTTCGCTGATTAAGCAAAACAGGAAGAGTCCTCAGATGAACGAGTATTGTAACAGCAAAGTAGTAACAGAATCTAATCTTAAGTACACCTTTGTGCCTCGAACAAAATAGTCTATGACCGCACAAGCATCATCCCTGAAAGTCTATGCCATGTTCTTCGAGCAAAGTGAATGTCCCGTATCCCGTGAACAAACATATAACAAACGCCAGTCCCACAATGGATCCGCAATGTCTCATGGAGAGCATTGCAGTATAGTGTAACACGAATACACGAATAAAAAGCGAGCGGGAAATATACAAAGGCCGCCGGAGCCAGCTACATATTGAGCAGGCTCATCTGTCGCTTCATCGGACTGGTAGTCCCCGACTCACCGTCCTCGCTGGGCCCAAGACCGCTGTCGGTGCCAACCAGACCGGCATCGGTATCAATGTCCCATTCCTCCTCTTCCTCGTCCGCAGATATGTCATCAGTCCCATCGCGATTCCAGCTTTTCTGAACGGCTCCGCGGGTGTTCCAACGCAGTGCCCGCTGAACACTCTCAAACCATTCCCCGCTTCCGGAGACCACAGTAGGAAAGGGGTACTGGCTGGCTTCAACGGTCACATAGTCCCCTTGGCGGAGTTCAACGCGTCCCTTGCCATCAAATGAACAGTAGGCACTGGAGCGGGATCCGGTCGGAACGGCGATACGGAGCAACAGCGAATCTGACAATACCATTGGACGGAAAGACAGAGTATGGGGACAGATAGGAGTAAGGAGAATGCCAGGAATAGAAGGATGAATAAGAGAGCCACCTGCAGACAGAGAGTACGCCGTAGAGCCTAGCCAGTCCGTTAGCCAATTGTAGACCATTTGAGCCAAGTCCAGAGAACTTACCAGTTGGCGTGGAGAAGATGCAGCCGTCCGCCTGAACAACGGTCAAGAGATCATTGTCGGCGTACAGCTCAAGATTTGACACATAAGGTGAAGGCCCCCGATCTATAACTAACTCGTTTAGGACCTCGAATTGCTCTCCTTCTTCGACTGCACCTGCTTCTGCCCCTTTGCTTCGGTCTTTGCGGAAGACTGTGCAGGTGAACCGCATCCTCAGGTTGACCCGCATACCGACATCTCCCATGACATCATTCAAATGTGACTTGTAATTCTCAAACTCGAAATTGGTCAGAAAGCCCAGGCTTCCCAGTGAGAAGCAGAGCACCGGCGGAACAATGCGCTGGAAAAGCCACGACGTGAAGAGAACCGTACCATCCCCGCCTAGCGTAAGGACAAGATCAAATTTCTCCGGAGCGGCCCAACAGAGATCCGGAGTCCAATAATGCAACATCTGCTCAAATCGCGGCTCAGATTGCAGCAGTCCGGCTGCGTCGAATCGCTTGGAATTCCGTAGTTTGGAATCGACCCATACATTAACCCCCAGGTCGCTCCCATATCGCGGGGTCGAGAGAAGCCACTCGGCTAGCTCTCGCGTCAGATGCACCAGGCGGTTATCGCGCGCCTTTGTCACAATCATCACATTTTTCACTGCCCGCTTGATCGGCCGCCTTTGAAGCTGCTTGGACACCTCCCGCACTCCGGTTGCAGTTTGTACCAGCCGCGAATGCGACAACCACTCATCGTCGGAGATTTCCTCCAGCACCTTCTGAATGTTGACGGCATCGTCGAACCGTCGATGGAAAAAGCATGGCGATTGCAGGACCAGTTGCGCCGTTGAGGGCGACCTTTCCAGGTATTTGCCTAGCTGTAGGTTCGAAAGAGCCGCCGAAAGCTTCTGTGATGACGAGTTGCTGGACCGTTGTTGCTCCGTCTCCGCTGAAGAACTCGAGTTGGGGCTTGTAGCTAGTAATCCGAGAGACGCCGCCAGCGGCGCATTGGAATTGGGATTGGTGCACAGCGACGGTCGCGACGCGAGGGCCTTCATGATCGTCTGTCGGGGTATAAGGTCGCTTGACGATGCGTTCTTGCGATGCTGCGAACCCAAGGGGCCCGCACTGCGGAATGAAAGGAAAGGGGACGTAGGTAACGAGGCGACGGGCGGCGCTTCTTCCTGGCGAAGCTCAAGCTTCTGCAGGACGTTGGCCCTACTGTTGGACAGTCCGGAGGTGGGTTGGTTCACATGAAGATCATTTGTCGACTGAGAAGGATCTATATGACTGGCATAATCCCGAAGGAGCGATGCACCGACAGTTGTGGACGTCAAAGGACAAGAGTCTGGAGAAGCTGGACCTGATAGTGGGGTTGCTGAGGAGAGCGGCGGTGATGAGGATGACGAGAGAGCGGAGGATTCAGAGGGAAGGGAGTCGGACTGGAGTCTCAGGGGGCCATGGCTTGAAGAAGAGGAAGCCATGAGCGATAATAAAGCCCGCGAATGAGTAGCGGAGGTGTAGGGCCGACTGCCTTGGAAGGGGGGATTTGTGATTATTCCATTGACTTAAGGTGTGTGTCTCTCAGACGTAAGACGGAATTATTGTTATTTCCAGCGAAAATGGACAAAATGGGCAAAATGGCCAACATGGACGGGGGAAAAGGACCGACTGCTAGTACTAGGTAAGGTAGTGACTAGTCTAGTACTGGAGAACGCGGAGCAGCCGCGGGAGCCGTGTTCGGATGTAACGGGGTTTGGCGGCGGATTAGCCTCTCCTCAGCCAGGGATCGTGAGCAAGAATGTCCGGCAAATTATGGCAGTCCAGTCAACATTTCGATCTGCTTCCATGGTCCGTAATCTTTCATCATCATTTCAGATTGATCACAAATCATCATAAAGCATGTTGTTTTGCATTTTCCAGAACATGGTAAAGCAGCATTCTTTCCGATGGCATGCATATCATCATCTTGTTGCTCTAAGGAAGTGCTACGTTATTATTGGGATAGGAATGGCTTTCTCTAACATAAAGGTTTCGGTCCCAGCAGTGGGAGGGGACAGTCATCGAGCAGACGCGGGACCGTGAAGGGAGAAGGATCGTGGCAATAAGGTCAAGTCACCACGGACCCATTCATAATTGGGCAGTTTGCGTGACATGCTGTGAATATTGTATTAATTTGAGTTTACGGAGTATAGCCGGCTAATTCAGTCCTATCTTCTGCAGGTTGGAGGAGTTGTTTCCTCCAATTGGTGATCCATATTTAGAAATTCAGTGTCATAACGGATATCCCCAGCAACGGCCAAAGATAGTCTAGCAGAAGTCGATAGCGTGATAGCACATCGAGGCCAGAAACTTTAGAGCCGGAGACTAGATTAGCGTGTCGTGCGGTATGGGCTCGTGGAAGAACCCATAAAACATGGTGACTCCGGAGAGCAAAACGCCTGTGCGCACCAATGGAAGGGCCCTAGGATGTGCCTTGCAATAGTGCCCACGCCAAAGTGTGCTCTCGTCATGCCAAAAGAGCGAATCTGACGTTGCCGAATGCGCGGGAGGCCATGGCTTGAAGGACCATCCCGAAATAGCACCTATGTGCTATCAATGTGTTCATGCAGCTGTGATCACCCTAGCCCCAACATCACGCCGCATCAATCTTCCAAGCATAATCCTGGTAGACCTTGTCCTCAATAGTCTCCCGCATAAATTTCTCCAACCCTTGTTCACCTCCCTCTCCCTCCATACTGACATCGCCATCGGCACTGCCGGCCAATGTGCCGCGACAGATTGCGGAGGCATGCTGATGAACTCTTTCCCAAGTAGCGAAGTCGAATGTTCCCTGGCTTTCATTGAGAAGTAGGTGGCCCTTGCTGGAGAATGCCAGAACGTGAAGAGATTTCGCGGTTGCCGCTTGGCTAACAGAAGGCTGTCGGATAATATCCCCTGACGACGTGACTGCCAGGATAGATGCAGTAAAGGTCATCGATAGGGGAACAGAAGCCGAGATTAGAGCCAGAAGCGAAGCATGGAGAAGGGCAGGAAGAAGAGTCAGATACTGTTGAGTACAGGCAAAGTCAGCCATGTCCACTTTCGCCAAAGTATAAGATTCCACCACAATTGACATAAACACTCACCGAATCTCCCCGACAGACACTCTCACCACCCACTATCGCCAATGTAAGGACAACGCCTCGGCGAGGATATCCCTTCTCTCGTCCCAGAATCAACCTTCCCAGCATAGTTTTCAGGATTCCCTCGACATATCTTTCACCGACACCACCAGGAGTGGTCCCAGGCTTCATAAAAACTTCGATAGTCGCCTCTTCAGGCTTCAATGCATCACGGCGACCAGGCAGCTCGACAGGAGCATTTACGGAACCTAGGACGTCGAACCCCGTCGAAGGACATTTGTAGGATGCCGATCCGTCGGCGCGGGTAAGAGGAGTAAGGGAGGCGGTCGGCCCAACCATTGTACCTTGCGATGATTGCCGGTCGGAAACAAGTTGAACACCTTAATAAAGACCGGATAAGAGCACCAGGTCTCTCGGAAAAGCGGATAATCGACGGGGGATTTGGCGTCAAAGAAGAAGTTGCTGTGTGGAGGGAGAGAGACTGAACGACAGTCTTCCGCCTGGAAATTTTGGCAGCATTGAAAGGTTGAACAATGCGGGCTGTTTCCCGATTGGCTGATCTGGCTGCTTGAATGGCCCGCTCCATCCCACGTACGGAGCACTTAAATATGGCACCCATGCATGGCAAAGAACAGCACACATGCCTCTAGAGAGGTATAATACCTCTAACACCTCTATGATCTTGTCCTGTGCTGCTTTATTTTTGTTTCTGCATGATTCAGGAGTAACAGAGGCGGTCTGGGCCCAAGATTCCCACTGTATCCGCCGCCTTAGAACTCAAGACACATGATATTGGCGACGTACTCTGTAGTGTTTTCCTCTTGAGACAGTAGCACTGATCTGCAGCATTCATACGAAGTGAAAAGAATCAAATTTGAATGTGCTTCCTTTCTTTTGGATCATACCAAGCGGAACTACTCCGTATCATGTGACTGACTGCAACGACCCAAGCTATCGACTCCAGCTGCCAAATGATCAGTCTCATTCCTCTATGTTTGGGTCTTCCTACTTGCGCTAAATGAGTTAGAAGCACTTCGAGACTGTTACATATTCAATCACCAAGTGCCGAGAACATTGGCAAAGTGGCAGTAAATGACTCTCGAAGCCAAGGATTTCTGAGTCCATTCTGGGACTACCGCTCCACTCACGGAGAAGGTTGTCTGTCACGCAAGAATCGGTTTACTAGAGCTCTCAGTAATTGGCACCAGGTCACCTGCATTGGTGCCTGCCTGTATACTTGTTACATCGAGTTAGATGTACCTAGATATGCATTGTAGCAAATTCCTAAGGTTGATACTGTTTCTGGCCTGCATTGACGGCTCACGTGGTTTAGGGCATCTTGCGGGATTCGCTCCCACCGATACATGTGAGCATGCATGGCTAGCTCGCATCCTTGGCCTCGAGTAAGTATCATGGCTTTTGGATCTGGGAACGAATCATAATGGATTAACAATCATTTTCGGCCTCGGCGAGGCTGTCCTCGGATCGATCGTCAACCAATCCAACGGCCAGCGACCCATGGCCCAAGCCTCTAGCGGCCCCGGAATTTGGTCTCACTTCACTTTCAACCAGTGTCGATTACAATGAGGTACGAATGAACTCGGCCAAGATAGAGCGATCCATCGTTTTCCAATGATATTCCATGCAGGAGATGATGGAAGCATGGCAACCCCTCACGATCCTCAGGTCAACACCTGGGCTTCATCCATACGATGACTGGTATAACTTAGGACGATCCCCGCACCTCTATACATAACCTAACATTCACTTGTCTTTCAACATCAGAGACGCACAACCAATCCCATCATCATTCACTGAGGCTCGTAAGTCTGATATTCATCAAAGGGGTTTCCCACATCTGTACGAACCTTAATTGGATGGGCATTGAAACGTCTCCGCCTGATGTCGAGGAATCGACAGAGCCTCCTATATGTCCTTTTACGGACAAACACACTTCCGTTCCAAGCAATCACACATGTGAAGTAAAAGCAAAACTCGGCGTGGAGAAGCTAGAGTATCCTGCCACTCTAGAAGTCTCGACGCCACCGCTCTATAAATCGGCAAACGCTGCCTTTAGCAATGATGATGATGAAAGCTCAGCTCACTGTGCACACACACTGCCTCCTGAACGACTGGCAAGTCTACTCCAGGTCGATGTTCGGTAAGTCAACATTTTCGGTCCTTGTCCGTGTGTATCGCCTCTCTCTGACTCGGCTTTCCAGAAATGGCCTGTCAAGTACGGAAGCTGCCACTCGCTTGGAGCGGGATGGCCCGAACAGGGTGCAGGAAATCGAGGGCGTATCGACCTGGAAAATACTGCTGAGGCAGGTTTCCAATAGTCTAACTATGGTATGATCATTCCTGTAGGGCCACACCCCGGTCAGTCAAACTTCAAGTTGCCAAATGATACCAATGTAAAACCAGGTCCTCCTCATCACTATGGCTATATCCTTCGGTATCCACGACTACATCGAGGGAGGTGTGATCACAGCAGTCATCGTCCTCAACATTGTCGTGGGGTAGGCTTATATACTCTGGTTTTTGATGGCCTCAGACTGATCAGTATTTCATAGGTTCGTCCAAGACTACCGGGCAGAAAAGACAATTATGTCGCTGCATCGACTGTCCGCACCTGTATGTAAGGTACTGCGAGATGGCCGTGCGGTCTCCGTCCCGGCGGAGTCTGTTGTCCTTGGCGACGTTGTTCAACTCACAGTTGGCGACATCGTTCCTGCAGATCTGAGATTGATCGACGGTACAAATGTATCAATGGATGAGGCCTTGCTAACGGGCGAATCTTTGCCTGTGAACAAGACCCCGCATATTGTCTTTTCTTCCCACAATATGCCCATCGGCGACAGAACCAACATGGCATATTCTGGATGTAGCATGACACAAGGACGGGCAACTGGAGTCGTCACTGCTACCGGAATGAAAACCGAAGTGGGCAGAATAGCTAAACTTCTCCAGGAGACTTCAGACGACGCCGACTCCAGTAGGCTCGTTCGGGCCGTCCGCCATGTCAAATCAACAGCGGAAAATGTCCTCGGTCTCGTTGGTACTCCATTACAGGTCAAGTTGAGTAAATTTGCGCTCCTTCTTTTTGCTCTCGCGGTTCTTCTGGCTATTATCGTCTTTTCTGTCAACAAGTGGCACATTGAAGGAGAAGTCCTGATATACGGAATAGCCATTGGTGTCGCCGTGATTCCAGAATCCTTAATTGCTGTGCTCACGATAACCATGGCGGTGGGTACCAAAGCAATGGCAAAGGGGAACGTCATCGTCCGGAAGCTTCAATGTCTGGAAGCTGTTGGGGGTGTCACAAACATTTGCTCTGACAAGACAGGGACATTGACGCAAGGAAGAATGATTGCACGTACGGCGTGGATACCAGGTGCTGGTATTCTGACCGTTCAGGATACCACCGACCCATACGACCCTACCAGCGGTTTAGTTCAATTGAACGGGTCTGACTGGGTTCCTGAAAAGCATGGTGATAACCCGGCTCTCTCTACTTTTTTCACCACAATTTCTCTATGTAATATGTCAGTCGTCCAAAACGAGGAGTCATCTGGCCCCTCAAGTGGTCGCTGGACTGCTATGGGGGAACCCACCGAGGTCGCCCTGAACGTTCTGGCGCTGCGTGTCGGTTACGAGAAATCGACTATACTGCTGAGAGCCGGTATGCAGCTCCACACAGAGTATCCGTTTGACTCTTCTATTAAGCGGATGACAATCGTTTACAAAAGCTCGGGCGAGAACAGGAACGAGGTGTATACGAAGGGAGCCCCCGAAGCTGTTTTACCAGGTCTCGCCATTTCTGAGAAGGAAAAAGAAGACATTCAGTATGAAGCTGATAGAATGGCTGGGGAAGGTCTTCGTGTCCTGTGCATTGCACACAAAAGAGCACCCCTAGAAGACGAATCCCAAGTGTCCTCACGCGTCATGGCTGAGGCCAATCTTGAGTTCTGCGGCCTCGTAGGGCTTTACGACCCTCCGCGTGTCGAAACCGCTGCTGCTGTGCGCAAGTGCCAGATGGCCGGAATCACCGTGCATATGCTCACCGGTGACCACATCAAGACGGCGACAGCAATTGCGTCGGAAGTGGGAATTCTCGGTCCAATGTTGGATAGCAGATCATGTCGCTTGGTCATGGCTGCTGCCGAGTTTGACGAGCTGTCTGATGCTGACATAGACGCCATTGAGCAGCTACCTCTTGTGATCGCTAGATGTAGCCCTGCAACAAAGGTTCGAATGGTTGAGGCGATGCATCGACGCGGCGCTTTCTGTGTGATGACAGGCGACGGAGTCAACGACTCGCCCGCCCTGAAACACGCAGATGTCGGCATTGCAATGGGCAAGAATGGCAGCGATGTTGCAAAAGAAGCGGCCGATATGGTACTCACCGACGATAACTTCTCGTCTATTGTGAAGGCAGTGGAGGAAGGAAGACGACTTTTTGACAACATTCAGAAGGTAAGCTTGACTTGGCGGTTTTGTATGGCATGACTAACACCTGCAGTTCCTGATGCACCTGCTTATATCAAATATCGCTCAGGTGATCTTGCTCTTGATAGCCCTCGCGTTTAAAGATAAGCAGGGCAACTCGATATTTCCTCTATCGCCGCTTGAGATTCTCTGGGCCAACCTAGTCACTTCGTCGTTCCTGGCTTTAGGGTTGGGATTGGAAGAAGGGCAGCCTGATCTGATGTACCGGCCCCCACATGACCTGAAGGTCGGCGTCTTCACCAAAGAGCTTATCACGGACAAAATGATCTACGGTACCTTCATGGGATCTTTGTGCCTGGTGGCCTTTGTATGCGTCATCTATGGAGCCGGGGCTGGTATTTCGGACCTGGGAGAGGACTGCAACAATGGCTGGAACGAAACATGCAACGTCGTCTTCCGAGCGCGTGCTACAACCTACGCCTCACTGACATTTCTTCTACTGATCACAGCATGGGAGGTCAAGCATTTCTCCCGGTCTCTGTTCAATCTAGATCCTGATAAATATCCCGGCAAGCTCTCTGTATTCCAGTCCATATGGAGAAATCGTTTCCTGTTTTGGGCAGTGATTGCCGGCTTCGTGGTGGCCTTTCCGGTGATCTACTTGCCTGCCGTCAACAGACTGGTCTTCAAACACCAAGGTATCGGATGGGAGTGGGGAATCGTCTTCGGATGTGTCGCTGTGTACCTGGCGCTTGTGGAAAGTTGGAAGGCGATCAAGAGGGCTTACGGGATTGGAAGCGGGAAGAACGCAACGCTCACAATGGTGGATGCTGAGATGAGAGCTGGTTTGACGCTGACGCCATCTACTCTTTTGTCGATGAGTGCCAATG